CAGGAGGAACAACTAACTCCATGGCCCCCGTGTGCATATGTGCGCGCACACACACACACACACACACACACACGTGCGCGCGAACACATATAGCACTGTCCTGTAGCACTGTCCTCCCGTTGTTCGTCGATTTACTTGAGCAGGCGCCAGTAATGTCTCCATTGTGAGACTTGTTACTGTTTTTGGCATAACGAATACCCCTTGGGGAGCTTGCCAGGCTCTGCCATGGGGGCAGGATACTCTCGGTAGCTTGCCGGGCTCTCCGAGAGGAATGGAGGAATCAAACCCAGGTCAGCCGTGTGCAAGGCAAACGCCCTACCCACTGTGCTATCACGCACACATATACACATATAAAAATACATACATACATACACACACATGCCCACATATGCACACATAAAAATACATACACACATGCACACATATACACACATGAAAATACACACACATACATACATACACACATGCACACATATATACACAAAAATACACACATACACACACCCACACACACACCAGTCTCATTCCTCTTTTGTCTTTCTGTCCACTGCTTTCAGAAACAATTTTTTCAGTGTGGGGGGCAGAGGCCCAGTGGCCCAGATGACTTGGAGGTCAGATGAATAAAGTCGGGGGGAGCCAAAGACAGGCTGAGGCCACTTGTCCATGCACTGCCCAGGCCACCCTGAGAGGCAGGAGTCTCGGCCTCAGGGGGCACAGCCCAAAGCCCTGGGGACAGAGACAACAGCCAATCTGTCTTGGGGGAACTTTCAGCCCCACCGATCTGAGCTGACCCACCCACCAGCCCGTCCCAACCACTGGGCTGATAGATAAAGGCAGAGGGGGAGGAAACCTTGGAAAATATTATTTTAGAATATTCTCGTGATGGAGCTGGAGCAATAGCACAGCGGGTATGGCGTTTGCCTTGCACGCAGCCGACCCAGGTTCGATTCCCAGCATCACATATGGTCCCCTGAGCACCACCAGGAGTGATTCCTGAGTGCAAAGCCAGGAGTAACCCCTGAGCATCGCCGGGGTGTGACCCAAAAAAGCAATAAATAAATAAATAAATAAATAGAATATTTTCGTGAGCGAGATGCTGGTGAATCCTTTATACATCAGTTACAAAACAGAAACTCTTCCCGACTGCTAGGAAGTAGTGGGGGGTGGGGGCAGAGAAAAAAAATTTTAAAAAGCTCTTGCATGTAATTGAAGGCAGGTTGGGAGATGTTCAAGCTTTGAAATTCTCCTTCTTGTGAAATGTTTATGAAACACTTTCCACAAACGAGTTATGCAACTAGGACAACACCTTTGATCGCGTCCAGCGCCCCTGATTTATTCATTAGTGCCGGAGAGGACCATAGAAAAGGCCTGAAGACGCCCCCCTAGCCTCACCGAGCCCACGTCCCCCTCGAAACAGGGGGCTGGAAGGGCGGTCCAGCTATGCAGCTGGGGAGCCCGCCTTTTCCCTCCCGGGTGCCCTCACCTCCCTCCTTGGCCCAGACAGATTGTGGCCTTGTGTGACATTTGGAGAGAGAAGACTCAGGAGTGGGGGGACAGGAGCTCTGTTAGAATCCCTCTCTGGGTTTTGGGGGCATCTCGGGGCCCCTGAGATGGGCAGGAGCCCCGTCCTGGAGCTGCAGCTCTGTGAGGAGTGAGGTCCGTATGGGGGACCCCTAGCCCCCCAGGCCCCATCCTCCCAGCGTGCGTCTCTCTGATGGAGGAGATGTCAGGGAGTTCAGAGGGATTAGGAGAGATAATCTCCCCGATACCGCTTCACCTCTCTGGTCACTGCCCAAAACTCGGCAGCACCTTTGCACAGCCCGGGGGTGGGGGGGGGGGAGGGACGGTCCCTCGTCTGCTGGTCGGAGGAAACCTATGGCAGCTGTGCTCCCCCCAACTCCCGCCCTCTGTCCCAGGGTCCGACTGGCCATCCCTAGCAGGGCCGGCGGAATCTTCCGCTTGCGTGAGAAGCGCCTCTGAGGGATGCTGGCGTGGGTCGGCCCTGTTCCAGGCGGGCTGTGGCTTTGGTTGGGTTTTCACAAGTTTGGGGGAAATTGGGGTTTGGTCCAATTCGCCTCGGGTTCTCACATTAGAAGTCAGTGGGGATCAGACAGAGGCTCTCTGTATCTCCCAGATCCTCAGCCAACACCCAGTGGCCTGGACTGACTCCAATCTTTCCCATTCGACAGCTGTGGAAGGGATTTCTGATTCGGGAGAAGCGCCGTTTCTTCACATCTCCTGTCTCCAGGGCCCCGGACTCTACTCTCTGTGGGGAGAGGACCGAAACCCAGGGAACTGTCCTGCCCTCCTCTGCCCACCCAGCCCAACCGAGCTCTAGAACCTGATTGTAGCTGAAAGCCTTTTCTTGCCATTTTTAAGAATAGTCTTTTTTTTTTTTTTGGAATGGGGATGAGTGTACCAGGTGGTGAACACTGTCACCAACACCTCACACCCAGGAGTGCCCAATTAGAATTTTTTTCTGGAATGAGTCAAAAGTTGGCAAAATCGAAGCTCCGTCTGGTGACCGGTGGGGATGTCAGGAAGTCCAGACTAAGCCCCCTGAGGTTCTAGAAGGCTCTTCCTTGGCCCCCCAAAGAGCGGGGAGGGCCATTGATCCAGGAAGCAGATGAAAGGGCGCGCTTTCTTTCATGATGGCGCTGGTTTCTGAAATTAAGAGTTGCAGGGAGAGCTGGCACTGATTCTAACAGATAGCGCCAGTTGGAGGCAAGGCGCATGTTTTCAAGCACTGTCATAGCCCCGGCTGCTTATCTCCCATGGGGCATAATGAGTCTAGAGAGGAACCTCCACTCGCGGCTGGGGCCCAGCCAAGCCGCCTGGGCTGGATCCACCAGGGTGATTTCACCTTCTCCCTCTGTGCCCCCTTCCTGCCTGCCGGCCTACCCCTGCCTCTGCCCCTGCCCCGGGGAAGGGGTGCGCCGGAGCAGGAGGGGCCCCAAGACCGTGGAGACCAGCGGCTGTCCCCGAACACTTGGCTTAAGGAGCCAACCACGAGGTCGGCATTGCGGCTGGTGCCACAGACGTTCTCGATGATCTGTTTGGAACTTCGTGAATCCGGCTCACGACTGTTTGCTGGGGACACTCATTTCTGGGGGGAGGAGGATAGCAGAGCTTTTTTGATGGCGATGCCAAGCATGGGTGGGCGGTGCTGAAGAGACCTGGGGTGTGGGCTGCGGGGTCGGGGGAACTGGGGAGCACAGCGCTCTCCTGGACCTGGTCCCTGTGACCCTGCCCCTCTGGGCTCTCCTGGGCTCCATCCCTCCCCGCCCGCTCTTCCTGCGGCCCCCAGGCGGGAGGGCTTGTGGGGACCCTTCCTGAGAGTGTCCCCTCTCAGCTGGTGTGTCTGTGCCTCCCTGGGCAGCGCCTGCTCATTCCCATGTCAGGAAGAAGCAGATAAGCAGTGTTAGGGAGCGATCGGAGAGCGACTGCCTCTGAGCAGCACCAGACCCCAACCTGAGCCCTGTCCAGCACCTGCTGGACACGGTGAACAGATGCCTGCAGGTCAAGTAGGTCCCTCGCTCCCGGCCCGTCTCTCGGGGCCCTGCTCCCTCCTCGCCTCTAGAGTCACAACGAGGGTCTTCGTGCTCTCGGGGTTCTGAATGAGCCACAGCTCCGTCTTCACGTAGAGCTTAAGCCCGTGTTATGCTCGTGCGTCTGAGCCTTTACTTGATTGACTTATTTCTGAGGTTGGCGGGGAGTGGAGGTGGTTGGGGTCATACCTAGAGGTGTTCCAGGGCTACTCCCAGCTCTGTGCTCGGGGGACCGTGTGGTGCCAGGGCTTGAGCCGAATCAGTTGCGGGAAAGGCCAGCACCCTTCCTGCTCTCTCCTGGCGTGAACCTTTAGCGGGTTGTCGGTGATAGCCCATGGAGCCCACAAAACCACGTTAAGCCAGATTCTCTCTGCCCACGGCCCCTGTCAGGGGTTCCCTGGTGCCTTCTCAGGGGTGGTTTAGGCCGCTTGACCCCCTGCCCCAGGAGACTTCTGCCTGTTACAGAATCATTGCTCTGGGTGGGAGATGGGGTGTGGGGCAGGGTCAGGCTGGAACCCACTTTGGTGGCTGGTGGCGTGTGGCAGTTACCCCAGGCGCCTCAGACAGCAGGTGGCAATAATTGTGCAAGACACAGCGGGGGACTGTCAGGTACGGCCACCCAGGCCGGGAGGGCTGTCCGAAAGGGCCGACTCAGCAGCAAACAACAGAGTTGGCTGCAACCTATGCAGGGGGGTGGAGCCCTGAGCACGTGGCCCAGACTCCGAGGAGCTCTGGGGAATTGAAAACAGGAGAAGGGGGAGCACCTTTTATTGATTTATTTCTGGTTTGGGGGCCATGCCCAGCGATGCTCAGGCTCAGGGCTTATTCCTGGCTCTGCACTCAGGAGTCACTCGTGGCAGTGCTCAGGGGACCATACGGGGTGCCGGAAACCCAGGGCGGTGGCTGCAAGGCGAACACCCTCCCCACTGTCCTATCGCTCCAGTCCCAGTTGCTCTCTTTTAACTTGGTGAGGTGGAGAGTTTGGCAGTATTATTCAGGGGACCAAAGACACTGGTGTGTGCAAGGCCCCGAGGCCAATCCCCAGGAGCAACATAGGGTCCTGCAAACACCTGAGTCCAGCCCCAGAGTCTGAGTGCAGAACCATCAGACCCCACCCGCGGACCCTTGGGTGTAGGCTCGCCCTAAAAAGCATCATTTAGTGTCACCATCTTCTCATCGCATAGAGCGGATGGTAACGTGTGTTCCCAGGGGGAAAAGAGCATCATCCACCCAGAGGTGCGACGTTCAAGGTCCTGAGGCTGTGTGCACCACCTGCAGAGGCCCAGGAGGGCAGTGGGGCTCATGAAGGGCTAGTATACCAAGCCGGTATCCGCTGTAGTGGGGCTCCTGAGCACTGCTCGGCCCTGCTCAGCCTGCGGTGCTCAACCGTCTCTCGCCGAGGTCTCCCTCCACGCCTGTCCCCTCACATGCCCCGTCTGCCTCCCCTTGCAGATTAAAACTGAGGACCTCAGCGACTCTCTGCAACAGGCCCTCACCCACCGGCCATGCCACTTGGCACAGGGACCTGCCGTGATGTCGGGGAACCAAATGCCTGGGGTAAATGCCTGCCCGGGGGGCCCTGCTCGTCCCAGAGCGAGAGGACCCGTGCCTTCCGCAGCCTGCCTGTCACCTATGCTAGGCCCCCAGGGACATGGGAGGGTGGAAGAGGGGCACTGAGAGGCCTGGGCCAGGCAGGGGAAGCCGCTGGGGTGGAGAGGGGCCCTCTCCGCCCTGGAGTTCAGCAGGTCCCGGCTGGGGTCTGAGCACCCAGCCAGTGCTCTAGTTCAAGTGCTCCTGTCCCAGGAGCACAGCAGACATGAGGGGAGCCCAGGGCAGGGCAGGAAAGGGGCCTCTGGGAGTAGGAGGGGCCCAGACTGGAAGGGGCGGGGGTGCAGAGCAGCCATCGTGGTCGGGGTCATGTGGAGAAGGACACGCGTGCCCATCTGTCCACGTCTTCACTCCACATGGGCTGGGCTAGTTGAGAGACTCCAGGTGCCACCAGAGTGATGGGCACACACCTGGGCACCTGTGGGAGCACAGACCCCACAGCACCGGGCAGGCAGCCCTCAATGGACGGGCTGACGCTCAGCTCATCCTGCGCCCAGGCCCAAGTGCAGCCCTCCTGGGCCCTGGGTTCCAGCCGCCAGTCCCCTCTCTGGGGCTAGGCTGTACTCCACTGATTCGGAATGAGGAGCTGGCCAGGGTGTGGCTGCAGGCCTAGACCAGGGGCAGGGGACATACACACTCACACACACACACACACACACGTGCACTCATTCACACAGTCACACACATATACAGCCACACATACACTCATATTCACACATAATCACACACACACACGTGCACTCATATTCACACATGCACACACAGATGCACACACTCCATGCATTCATATCCATATACAATCACACACATGTATACATACTCTCACACACATGTGCTTGTATTCACACATATTCACACATAATCACACACATGCACAGTCACACACGTGCACTTGTAGTCACATGTCACACATATGTACACACACTCACACACATGCATTCATATTCACATACAATCACACACATGTATACGTACTTTTACACACATGCACTCATATTCACACATAATCACACGCCTACACATATGTGTGCTCTCATAGTCACACATCACACATATGTACACACATGCATTCATATCCACATACAGTAACACATGTATACATACTCTTACACACGTGCACTCATATTCACACATAATCACACACATACACATGTGTGCTCTTGTATTCACACATCACACATGTACACACATGCATTCATATCCACACACAATCACACACATGCATACACACTCACACATGTGCACTCATGTTCACACACAATCACACACATGTACACACATACATCTGCAAATAATCACACATGTGCACGTATGCATACCCACACACTCATATGTACATTCTCACACACACTCACACATACACACTCACATTTGTTCACACACACACACGTAAGAAATGAAGCAGGGTCAGAGCAACAGTAGGGTGTTTGCCTTGCATGTGGCTGACCTAGGTTTGATCCCCGCATCCCATATGGTCCCCCAGCACCGTCAGGAGTAATTCCTGAGCACAGAGCCAGGAGTTAACCCATTGCTGACAGAGCCAGGAGTTAACCCATTGCTGACAGAGCCAGGAGTTAACCCATTGCTGAGTGTGGCCCCAAACCAACCCAACATCAAAGATGCTGTAAGTAGCAGTGGTGTTGAGGGAGTAGCGACTCCTGTGCCAGCCCCTGGGGTACTCAGAGGATGGGGCCTGGAGGCTGATGGGGACCAGGTGTGGCAGGAAGGTGGTGCGGTAGCCCCTCCCCGCTCTGAGCCCGTGTCTCCCTGCAGGACATGACCTCCCTGCACCCTCTGCAGCAGCTGGTGCTGGTCCCCGGCCACTTACAGTCCGTGTCCCAGTTCCTGCTCTCTCAGACCCAGCCCGGACAGCAAGGTAAGAGCCAGGGTCCACACTGAGCTGGGCAGTAGGCGGGATGGGGTGAGCAACCCAGCCCTCCCCTCTAAAGGCGAGTCCCCCTGCCCACCCACACCAGGTCCTGGGCCTTCTTGCTCCACCCAGCCTCTCAATTCTGCACGGAGTTGGAGTGAAGGTGCAGTGGGGCGGGGCGGGGCGGGGGAGGAGCAGCCCCTCGGAACAGGCGGTTCTGCGGAAGATCCTTTGGAAACCTCCGCTTCCCTCCAGTAAGCGCGACTGGGAGGCGGTGAGTGGCTCGGCACTGCCCCCCACAGGCCAGCAGCGAGGTTGCAGGGTCTCGCTGGCCGCCCAAGGCTCGGACCTCGAGAACTTGCCTGCTTCCAGAGCTCCATGGGCCAAGAGCGCTGCAGAGTGATTTTCCCCAACCTTTGAACACGTAACCCTGCATGGGGGGCCGCTGGTGACCTGTGGGTAGCTCTGAGTGGGCTGTCTGAACCTAGACCTGGGTGATCCCTGTACTGTCCCTCTGTCACCTGCCTCCATGCGGTCCGGTCCGGCTGGAGGGTCCAGGGTGCGCCTGCGGGCCGGCTCCCTTGCTCGCCGCACCTGCCCCAAGCCCAGCCTCTCAGCAGCACGCCCCTGCCTCCTCGCTCCCCGTCCCTGCCCCGTTACAGCCCTGCATTCCCATGGCACCCGAGGGTAGCAGGATGGAGTCAGCGCGCTTGGACCTCGCAGTGTTTGTTTTGGCTAAGTCGTCCCAGAGGCTCGCAGTAGGACAGGGAGCATAGGCGCTAATTCTGTTTCCGTTTGGAAGCCTGGCCGGGAGAGGAGAGCGGTGCAGGCGCATAACGCGATCAGCGTATGAGGCAAGACAAAACCCAAACAAAACCCAGCCAGGAGAGCTGGTGCAGGGGTTAAGGCACCTTGCGTCAACCCTGGTTGGTCCCCAGCACCACATCTGCTCCCCACGCACCGCCAGGGGTCACTGAGCACAGAGCCAGAAATAGGCCCTGAGCATGGCCAGGTGTGGCCCCCAAATACAACAACAACAGGGCAGGGTGAAGGGGCACAGGGGCTGAGGTGCTGGCCTTGCACACAGCCAACTCTGGTTTGATCCCTGGCACCACAGGTGTTTCCCTGAGTGCCTCCAGGAGTGATCCCTGAGCACAGAGCCAGGCGTAAACCCAGAGTGCCATCAAGTGTACTCCCACTCCCAACACCTCCCGCTCCTCCTCCCCCCCAAAAAGAAAGAAAATTTGAAGTCAAACTCATTTATTTAAAAAAACAAAATCACTAGTTTGTGTGTCCTTGGGAAACTTAACTAACCTCTCTGAGCTCCCACTTCCTCTTTCCAGAAATAATGGTTGAATCAACTCACTGAGTCTTTTGAGAGTTACTTGACATAACACTTGGGGTCCTGCCTCAGAACGCAATCAGGACAATGAGCCACTTCCCGGCTCCCAGCGCCAGCAGCTTCCCTTAAGAACCCTCTTGCCTATTTATTTCCTAGAAAGGACAAATCCAGCCCAGCTTCCTCAGACCGAGGCACATGCTACCCCTCGGTCCCCTGAGCCACAGTACCCCGAGGCAGAGTGATGGGGGTGAGCCACCTCCACACCAGTTGGTGGCCTGGTGGCCTCACTGGTACAAGGGGACAGAACTGGCTGTGGCCTTCTTAGGAGGGGGCAGGGGGTGGTGAGCACCCCAGCCCAGGCGCCTGCAGAGGCGGGAGCGTGCCCGTCCAGCTGACCCTCGCCTGGCCTGGCCTTTGCCATCCTCCCTCAGCCCTTCGACCCCCGCTTGCTTCCGCCTGGCCCTTTGGCCAGTGCCCACTGCCCTCTGGGTTTCTCTGTCCCGTCCACCCCCTTGGCATCCCTCAAGCCTGCAGCTTGGGCTTTGGCGCCGTTCCAGCCTCTTCTGCAGGCGGAAGGGTATCTCAGCGCTCCAGCAGGACCCCCGCCCCAGCCCTCCCAGCCCTCCCCCGCCTCACCGCCTTCCCTCCCGCCCCCGTCTCAGCCCTGCTCCCGCCTGGGCCTCTGCAGACAGGCAGGCAGGCAGAAGGACTGGTTTGGGGACTGTGTTTACATCTGTTTATGCCTGTGTCTGGCTCGCCCCCGCCCGAGTGTGGCAATGCCTGGCAGTGCCCGTGGGGGCCTCTGCGGAGGGCTCGAGGTGGGTTGAGGGACCTGATTAGGTGGCAGGGGTGGGGCCGCCTCTCGTGGTTCCCGGGTGCCCGTGTCTGCCTTCCTGGGACGGCCTGGATTCATTGTCTCTGTTTCTTTGTCCCTGCCAGGTCTGCAGCCAAATCTCCTTCCCTTTCCGCAGCAGCAAAGTCCTCTCCTCCTCCCGCAGACGGGGCCCGGCCTGGCGTCCCAGGTAAACAGCCGCCCGTTTCCTCTAGGAATGGCCTAGTTTCCCCCCACCCCTGCTGGCGCGCTGGCCCGTGGGAGCAGGAAACAGCTGGGAGGAGCCCCGTGCACCTGTGGGGGAGCCCGAGGACCAGGTTTCAGAAGCGAAGGCCCCTCCACACCCACCCTGCTCAGGGCCTGGCCCCCTGCCCTTCCTGTGGGCACTCAGATGCCCACCAGGGAGGCGAGCCCATCAGCCTGAAGTCCCAGAGGCAGAACTGTCTGGACAGCATTCAGCACATAGGGGATCCCAGGGGGGTTGAACTCATCACCGTATACCTGCAAGGTCTCAGAGCAGAGGCCTCAAGCTACCCACCAAGCTGTTTGTCCAGGCACCCTCTACCTTTTTTTTTTCTTTTTTTTCTTTTTGGGTCACACCCGGTGATGCACCAGGGTTACTCCTGACTCTGCACTCAGGAATTACTCCTGTTGGTGCTCAGGGGACCAGAAGGAATGCTGGGAATCGAACCCAGGTCGGCCACGTGCAAGGCAAACACCCTACCTGCCGTGCTATGGCTCCAGCCCCCACCCTCTACTTTAGACAGGCCTCGACCGCAGGCACCTGGGTGGCTGCCAGCGGGGTACGGCGCCCAGGTGCTAGGGAGAAGGGACTCCTCCTTCTCCTCTGGTCAGTAGCATCCTCTGCCCCTGAGTGGCAGCCTGAGCGGCCACCGAATCTTCCCCCCACCTCCCAACCCCGCTGCGGCTGTGGGCAAGGATCTCGGCTGAGCTGTGTCTACGGATGGGGACTGCGAAGGTCCTACTGGGCCCTTCTCTGCGCTGAGATCCCCAGCGGTCATCGCGGTCCAGCCTGAAGTGACTCTGGGAGTGCAGAGGGCGCCCTCTAGTGGCCAGATGGGCGCACAGCGTCCTCTCTGCAGCTTCCTGGCTGTTCCCCTCGTTGGTTTTCATCCAGAAGAGGATTTAGAGCGTTGTTCTGGGTCCCCTCTCTCTCCTCATGGTGTCAGAGCAGGGAAAGACCAGAGACAATCTTCTCAGAAGTTTCCTCAGGCCTCCCCAGGGACTGGGGTGCTGGAAGACAGCTCCCAGGACAGGTTTAGGCCTTGGGACCGGGGATAGAGGGGGCACATGCGAGGATAGAGGATTGAGGGGGCGTTGGGTCAGTGCAACTGTGTAAGTGAAGGGGAATAAAGAAGGTCCAGGGGGCGCCCGAGTCCTTGCCGGATAGAGAGCAATGCAGTCCCGACAGGGGGTGCTGAGGATCTGATCTGACATCCCCCAAAGCACGGCCAGCTCTGTAATCATTTCGCATCCTGTTCTCCCCCAAAGACCCTTCATCTAGGGGAAATGCCTCCACTGTGTGCCAAGACACAAACAGACACTCATAGTATAGGGGGAAGGCGCTTTCATTGCACGTGGCTGACCCCAGTTCAATCTCCAGCATCACATACAGTAGCCCAAGCACTTCCGGAAGTGACCCCTGAGCAAAGAGCCAGGAGCAACCCCTGACCATCGCTGGGTGTGACTCTCCCCAAAAAAGAGGGGTCAGATAGTGCAGGGGTTAAGGCACTTGCCTTGTGTACGGTAGATCTTGGTTTGATCCCCAGCGTCCCATATGGTCATCTGAGTGGTCTCTGAGCACAGAGCCAGGAATAATCCCTGAGCACCCACCGGGTGAGTCCCCCAGAACAGAAAGGAAATGAAAATAAAACGGGGCTGGTGCCATAAAATTAACCCCCTTCTTGAAAGAGAGTAAGTTGGGAGAGAGAAGGGAGATTGTTTAGTAGGTGGAGACTGTGGGCTGCGGCCCCTTGGCCTGGGCATCTCCCCACTGTTCTGCTCCCTGGGCCTGGATGGACACCCCCTGGGCTCTGAGGGTCAGGGCTTGTCCTCTCTGAGTCCATTAAAGAAAATGCTCCCCTGCCCAGCAAGCAGGACAGGAAGTGTGTTCAGAGAGATGGCGGGACTTTTATTTAAAATACAGACAGTGGTCAGCGAGTAAAATGGGCATTTCCCAGGAAGTTCTTCTATTAAGAAATGAGGCTGGGGGGGCCCTCAGGGAGCCTCTGTGGGACGAGCAACACCCCAGGACGTGGCTGCAGCTTTCCAGCGCCGTGCAGAGGTGTGGCGGGATCTTTGTAAACTGCCCCGCCAGCTCCTTTTACAGTGGGAACCGCAGAGGAGGAAGTTACCTGAGAACCACATGAGTCAGACCCAGTCCAGGAGCCGCCTCCCTGTACCCTGACAGGGCTCGGACCCCGAGCGACTGCCCTGGGCTGCCCCTGGCAGGAGCTGCCATGTCCTCTTAAGTTTGAGACCCAAGAAGCTGCAGGCTGGGGGTGTGTGTATGGCTCTGCAGCCTCTGACCTGTGTGTGTGTGTGTGTGTGTGTGTGTGTGTGTGTGTGTGTGTGTTCCCTCCCAGGCAGCTGCACGCCCTGGGCTGCCGGGGCCCTCTTTAGAGCCCCATCTGGAAGCACCCCCGCACCTCCCCGGGCCCAAGCACCTCCCCGGCGCTGGAGGGGCCGATGAGCCCAGTGACCTGGAGGAGCTGGAGAAGTTCGCCAAGACTTTCAAGCAGAGACGCATTAAGCTGGGCTTCACCCAGGTTCGGTTTGGGTATTTGTCTCGGAGAGAGGGGGAGACATGGAGAGACTTGGGCTGACTGAGGTGGGGCATAAGGTTCCGGAGGGGGTGGTGGGTTGGGAGGCCAGTCCCTGGGGACTTTAGACTTCCCCAGAGCTGGGGGCCTGCGTTATCAGGAGGGAAACAGACTTCTGGGGGCAGGAGGAGGTTGGAGCCAGAGCCAGAGCGGGGCTGGGGCTACCCCTGCTCTGGGGAGAGGAGCCCTGTAGCTGGGCTGATGGTGGTTGCTAGAAGGTTCTCTGCATGTAAATGGAGGTGGGGGGATGCCCAAGGATGAGGACACCTGGCTCAGTCCTCCCTCCCGGCCCCCCTTCCCCGCAGGGAGATGTGGGGCTGGCCATGGGGAAGCTCTATGGCAACGACTTCAGCCAGACGACCATCTCGAGGTTCGAGGCCTTGAACCTGAGCTTCAAGAACATGTGCAAGCTGAAACCGCTGCTGGAGAAGTGGCTCACGGACGCCGGTGCGGGCGCCAGGCGCGGGACACGGGGTGCAAGTGCGGGGGTGCACGGGGCACGGGGCCCGGGGCGCATGAGTGCGGGCGCAGGGGTGCCGTGTTGGGAGCGGGGGCCCTTCCTCCCCTCCCCACCAAGAAGGGCAGCGGGTGGGGCCCACGCTCTTGGCTGGATACCTGGGGGGTTCACTGCAGAGCGCGTGGTCAGCCACAGGGGGACCCTCTGCCCTGGAACAGGAAATGGGGGGATGGGCGGCTCCTGGGGACTCAGGATGTTTGGGGAAGGATTTCCTCCTTCCTGGTGTCACCCCTGCGGGATGCAGGCTCCTTCCGGAGGGCCCCGCCTGTGCTCAGACTGCTGTCCCCTGAAAGAAGGGCGGGTCCTCCCACCAGCCCTGCCTCCAAGACCTCGGTGTGGGTGCTCTGCCTGCACCCACCCAACCCTTGCGCCGCGTCCCGCATCCAGGGGGACCCTTGCGAGAGCAGGGAGACCCTTGTGCATCCATGGGGACCTTGCGTCCAGGGGGATGTTTGGGCGTCCAAGGAGACCCTTGTATGTCTGGAGGACCCTGACGCGTGTGTGCCCAGGGGACCCTTGTGTGTCCAGGGGGGCCCTTTCGCTGGCCCCGAGGAGAGAGGCAGCATTTCTGGACGGTTCTGACCCCCTCCCCTCTACTGGCCTGACCTGAGCTCCCCTGTGCCCCCTGCAGAGTCCTCTCCCTCAGACCCCTCTGTCAGCTCCCCCAGCTCCTACCCTACCCTCAGCGAAGTGTTCGGAAGGAAACGGAAGAAACGGACCAGCATCGAGACCAACATCCGCCTGACCCTGGAGAAGAGATTTCAGGACGTGAGCAATGCTGGGGCAGAGCAGGGGGTGGGGCCACGCCAATTAGCACCCACCCTTCACATCACACCCCTGCCCCAAGGAAGGCTCCGGGTGCCCAGGGGTTGGGCTGAAAGTCTGCCCTTCACCCCACATTCCCACTGACATCTCTAGTGCTGGTGTCCCTTTCTCTCACTGGGAGAGAGCCGGAAACAGGAAATGGGCGTCCCGGGCGAGTACCCGCAGGGAAACCAGTCCAACCCTGGCTGGAACATTTTCTTTCCTCTGCCGTGTCTTGCTTGGATCAAACGACACATATGTCCATATGCGAAAAATAGTGGGATGGACGGGTAGATCCAGCATCAGGTGCCTTCTCGGTGTATCTCCTTGCATTTCTGTTCTGCACCCACCATCACATCTCCAGCTGGGGATGGGGCTGGAGGGATAGTACCCAGGTCTCATCCCTAGCACCCCATATGGTTCCTTAAGCACTGTCAGAAGTAATGCCTGAGTGCAGAGCCAGGAGTGAGCCCTGAGCATCACCGGGTGTGACCCACAAACAAACAAACAAATTGCCAGGATCCTCTTCTGGCCAAGAGGGTTTTGGAGTTTGGGGCAAACCCCACATGGAAGCTAAGAATGCCAGCTCTGTGCGGTGGGGGCCGGGGGCAGATGTGGAAGGTGTGTTATGGCACGTGTTGGGGTCATGGGCAGTTGGCTGCATCCTGGGGAGTGGGTGCTGGCCACAGACCTTCCCAGGGTGCCAGGGGAAGGAAGGGTGCAGGAGGGAGGAAAAGGGGCCCGAGATGAGAGTGAAGGCAAGCGTGGTCATGGGTCTCGATACATGTGTGAGATGCATGTACATATACACGTATCTGCTGCTATCGGGGTGGGTTGACACTCGTTGACCTCATCGTTTATTTATTGGGCAGTGCCGGGGTCAAACCCAGGGCCTCACGCATGCCTCCCACTGGGCCACATCCCAGGCCTCCTTGCCTGTTTTGTTGAAGTGGAAACGGATATCAGGTCATGACAAAGAACCACGAAGGTGGGGAGCACAGGGTTGGGGATTTCCTGCCCCGCATAACTATAAACAGATTCCTCTTTTCAGAAACTTCTCCAGACAAATCTTTGTTTCTGGAGCCTGCAGTCTGAGTCAGACCCAGTGCCTGTGTACACAGATTTTTCATCTAACCTTCACAATAATTCCATGTAACAGGCATCATTATTTTTACTTCACAGGTAAAGGGAAAAAAACATAAAGCCTATAAACCATTCTTCAGCTATTTGGGGGAGGTGGTTGGTTATTGGCTCATATCCAACAGTGCTCGGGGTGACTCTTGGCTCTGTGCTCAGAAGTGATCCCTGGCAGTGCTTGAGGAACTGTATGGGATACTGGGGGTCAAACCAGGGTCAGCTGCGTGCATGGCAAGAGCCTTTTCTCCTTACTGTCTCTCCAGCCCCGTATTCTTGTTTTTTTGTTTTTGTTTGGGGGTCAGGCCTGGCAGTGTTCAGGGCTTACTCCTGGCTCCGCACTCAGGAATCACTCCTAGCAGTGCTCAGGAGACCATATGAGATGATGGGGATCGAACCCGGGTCACTTGCGTGCAAGACAAGCACTCTCCCCACTGTGCCATGACTCTGGCCACTCCAGCCCCATATTTATTGCTTTTGATCCTGCAACCATGGAACACATGTCCCCTTCTCGAATTCTTTTTGTTTCTTTGGATTTTGGTTTTGTTTTATTTTTGGAGGGGGGACTCCCTAGCAGTGCTCCAGAGGTCCCTCCCAGAGATTCTTGGCTAGCCTGGCCTGTGGTTCTGTGTAAGGACTGAGGATCTGGTGATGCTTGGACCCTGCAGTGCTGGGGTTGACACGCTCCTCCCGGCCCCGGCAGCACTCGGGGTCTCCAGGGCTGCCCCTGTTAGTGCCTGAGGAAGTCGCCCCAGCCCCCACCCTTGGTTCTTGAGTGACCCCCATCTCCCTTGTCTCTGGTCTCCACAGAACCCCAAGCCCAGCTCCGAGGAGATCTCTCTGATCGCAGAGCAGCTGTCCATGGAGAAGGAGGTGGTGCGGGTCTGGTTCTGCAACAGGCGCCAGAAGGAGAAGCGGATCAACTGTCCGGTGGCCCCGCCCCTCAAGGCCCCCATCTACAATTCCCGCCTGGTGAGTGGCTGGGTCCAGCAGCTGGGACGATGCGGGGGATGGGGAGGCGGGGCAATACGGGGGCGGAGGGGGGCCTCGGCAAATTGTCTCTGCACTCTGGGGAGGAGAGTGGGGTCCCTGAGGGGGGTGGGCAGCAAATAAGGAAGCAAAGAGAGACAGCAGATACAAAACACACTTGCAGCCAGAGCAATGGCACAGGGGCCAGTATGCAGAGACCCCGGTTTAATCCCCAACACCACATAGGGACCCCTGATTCCCGCAGGGGGTGACCCTCGAGCACGGCACCAAGCCAGGAGTAAGCTCTGAGCTCTGCTGGGTGTGGTCTCCCCCCCTTGGATGCAGTAAAATGAAATAAAGTCTGGAAAAATGGAGAAGACCCAGGGGCTAGGAAGAGACGACAGCTCTGTGACCCGGGCTCAGAACGGACCTTCTTTGAGAAGGTGACGTCGGTGCAGAGCCCTAAGTGCTGAAAGGGATGAGGAGGAAAGTTCCGGAAAGAGTGTCCTGCCAGGGGCTGGAGCAATAGCACAGCAGGTAGGGTTTTTACACTGCACGCAGCCTACCTAGGTTCGATTCCCAGCATCCCATATGGTCCGCCAAGCACCACCAGGAGTAATTCCTGAGTGCAGAGCCAGGAGTAACTCCTGTGCATCGCCGGGTGTGACCCAAAAAGCAAAAAAAAAAAAGAGTGAAAACGGCCTGGCCTGTTTGAGCAGCAGTGAGGAAGCCGTAGCCAGGGTGGGGGAAAGAAGAGGTGAGGTTGGGGAGGTGGCAGGGGGAGGAAGAGGGAGCGGACCCCTGGCTTGGAGCTGCTATAGTCTTAGCTGGGGCGGCAGGTCTGGACCCCACCCAACTCTCCCACCCTCCCACAGTTGCAGCCCTCAGGCTGACGGTGGCAGAAAGGTGCGAGGGAGGTGGCCGAAAGGCCGGATTCTCAGTATCCCTCCCCGGGCACCGATGGCTCGTGCGGAGAGCACGGAGAAACGAAGCCAAGATAACTGGAAGGGTTTTGGCCTGGGCAGCATCTGGCAGGCGCATGTTTGAGTTGATCAAGCCTTGCAGGAGGGACCGCTCCGAGGGGGCGGGCTGGCATGCGGCCTGGGAAGTTTGTCCAGGAAGGACTCAGCTGACGGTTACAGCCGTGATTCTGGCCTTCGGGGAGCCGCTGGGGCTGGGAAGAGCTGGGAGTTCCGGCAGAACTGGGTGTTCGGAGAGGAGGGAATGTCTCCTCCGTCTCTGGGGGCGATGATGGTTGAAGGGGGAGGGGGTGGAGGGATGAGCGCTCATCCCCCAAATAGTTCCGCTCTGAAGGATGGGAGTGCCTCGTCGGGCTGGCCGTGGCTCCTGCTGGACCCCACGCCAGTGGCATCTTCCTGGAGCATGACTCAACTGGTGCATGTAGACCAGCCTCTGAGCAGATAGAACGGATCCCGAGATCTGTAATACTTGGCCCCATCTTGGAGGATCTCGCTGCCTAGCCGAGGAGACAGACAAATAAACAGAAGGTAAACAGCAGCGAATTTCTCTGGGAGGACTTGGACTGAGCAGCTGACAAGGCCTCAGGAGACGGTGGTCAGGGAAGTGGTCCTCGGGGAGCTAATTAATCCCTTCCCCGAGTCTGGAAGGACCAGAGGAGTGACGAGGCAGAGAATCTGGGGAGAGTGGACACGGGCTAAGGCATGTGGAATGAGGGGTTGGGGGAGCCACTGACCACCCGGGGTCCCACTCCAGGGATCACTGGAGGTGATTGGGCATTGGGGGTCACTGAAGGACTTGAAGCAGGACACTGGCTCGATCTCATTCACTGGGGAAAATGGGCTCCCTGAGGTGGCACACGGCGTCTGGAGAGGTGTGAGATGAGTCACAAGGAGACCAGTTAGGATTACGATGGGCGGGCAGCATGCCAGGAGGAGATAATGGGGACTGAGGCCACAGGGGGAGATCCAGGAGACAGGGAGAAGAGGCCTTGGTTGGTCGTGGCTAGGACGTTGAAGGCGGGCTGGGGACAGAGAGAGCCAGGATGGCGAGAGCGCCTCCGGGGTGACTCAGTATCCAGGCTGGGCTGATGAGGGAGGTGGGGGCGCCAGGGACCAAACACGCCAACACGGGAGGGGCAGGGCTGGGTGTCGGAAAGAGTGATATTTTCTTGCGTGACACCCTCGGGCTGCCCCAGGGACACCACAGTGGGCAGGTCCCGGCGCTGGGATGTGTGAGTGGGAGGTCAGGGATGGAGAAGTGGGTGTGGGAGGGAGCGTATGGGTGGGACTGCAGAGTGAGGGGGTGCCCCCCAGGCTGTCTGCACAGAGGAAGCAGAGAAGAGAAAGTGTGGCATCACTTGCCCCTGGGGAACACCAGCATTTGTGGGCTGGACAAAGGCAGACTCTCTGCCCTTGACCCTCGAGGGCAGAAATGGACCTTTGAAGGCAAGAACTTGCACTGAGGTAGGAGTGGGGGGTGCTGGACCAAGTACACCAGGAACAAAGATGGGGATCCCCAGTTGGAATGGAGCCCAGGAAGATGGACTGAGGGATCTCCCCAAGTCCAGGGTATTGGGGGACTTCTCCTAGGAACTCCAGGAGAGCAAGTGGACATCAAGAAGGGAGGGGAGGGGATGGGGCAGGGGAGAGGCTCCAGAGAGAGGGAGCTGTGTGCAGAGGGCCCAAGGCTGGGCTGGAACCCGGGCACTGAAGCGGGGTGAGAGGGCTAGAGAGGTAGGCGGGGGGACCCCACTCAGGGTGTTGTCAGCTGGAAAGAAATGGGACCAAGTCCTCAGTCCTCCTCAGAAGCCTTAATGACTCAGGGAGGTAGATTTGGGTTTGGGTTCTGACCCAACTTGCATGAAACAGAGAAGGGGTTGGGCGCGTGTCTAAAGGGTCGGGAGCCCCACACTCGGTATTGTCATCATTTGCTTGGCATGTTTGCTGAGCACCTGCACTGCAGGGAGCACTGGGGATGAGAGCACCATTGAGGGCAGCAAGGGGAGTTGGCAAATGCTATCACTGGGGCAGTCCCGGGGCCTGGAACAGGTTCTTGTCCCGAGGAGCAATCTCTCAGCTAGACAGTCTCTAAGATGATACAGGCAAAGCCAGAGTAAAAAGAGGAACAGAACAGTGGTCAAAGTGGAAATTCAGGGGCCCGAGCGACAGTCCAGTGGACAGGGTGTTTGCCTTGCATGGGGCCGACCCGGGTCTGGTCCCAGAATCCCATGCAGTCCCCCGAGTCCACCAGGAGTGCTGCCTGAGTTCAGAGCCAGGAGTAAGCCCTGAGCACCGCTGGGTGTGACCCCCAAACAAAAACCAAAGAAGACCTGGATGTAGACACGGGCAAGTTTGCAAGCGCCTGGCCCTGCTCCAGGAGGAAGCAGGAGTGCTGGTCACAGTGACTAAATGCGTTGTTTATCTCAGAGCAGCAACAGATGCCCGGGGTGCGCCCCAGGCGGGGAGAGGAGCAAGAGTTACCGATTACATCTTTGGGGCACTGCCCCACACACCTGGCTCCACCCTGGTGACCCCACCTCCCACCCCTGCGGGACAAGGATGCTCATATCACAGGAAGGTGGATGGCGGCCGTGAGAACTTAGCTGCGGCACGCGGGGAGGGGACACTGCCAGCTGGGGAGGGAAGGACCGTGGCCAAAGCACCCAGAGCACGCCCCTCTTTGCATCCTTTGGAAATTTGCTCAGACCTGCTGGGGAAGCCTGAGAAGACTCCGCAGAGAGGAGCGGGCGGATGTTCGCTGCCGCCCAGCTGTGGCTGTGTCTTGAGACATCAGTAGCCTGCAGCCGCGTCCTGGAAGGGAGGGACGTGACAGGGACCTGCCCGAGACTCTGCGGGCAGTTAGCGCTTTATGAGTACTCACGCCATACGTCCTTTACAAAAGAGATCTACTCATCTGCCCGTCCATCTGCCAGTCATTCGTTCATTCATTGATCAATTTCTTTGCCCATTTGTTCACTCATTTGTCCATCCTCCACCCATCCATCCATCCATCCATCCGTCTGTTCATTCATCCTTACATTCATTCTTTCATCTATCCATTTATCATTCATTCATCCACCTAGTCATTTATTCCTTTGTCCATCCACCCAGTCATTTATTCCTTCATCCATCTACCCCTCCATTCATCCATCCACCCCTCCATCCATCTGTCCCTCCATCCATCCATCCACCCACCCATCCACCTATTCGTCTACCCTTCCAATCCCCCATCCACCCACCCACCCCTCCACTTATCCATCCATCCACCCACCCACCCAAATACCCGTCCACCCACCTACCCATCCACCCATTTATCTACCCCTCCAGTGCCCCATCCATTCATCCATCCATCCATCCATCCATCCATCCATCCATCCATCCATCCTTTCATTTGTTGTTAGAACCACACCCAGCAGTGCCCCTGGGACCCTACAGTGGCAGGATCAAACCCAAGGTTTTGCTCACACAGTTATGGGCTCTGCTACTTGAGTCCCTGCCTCAAAACTTAAAATTTCAGGGCTGGGGAGATGCTCAAAGGGCTGGAACACATGGTTTCTACGCGGGAGGCCCGGTTTCCACCCCAGCACTGCCTAATCCTTCTGAGCAACACAAGGCCAAGGGGTGGTCAGGGAGGACCCACTAAGCACTGTGGAGCGTAGCCTCAAGAGAAGAAAAAAGACAAAGGACCCATCAGGGCAGAGTCCCTGCTCTCGGTCCCAGGGGCGTGAGCGGATGAGGCCAGGTCCCCGCAGAGCAGAGAGGGTTTCCTCCGTGGCGTCTGACTCTGACCGCGTGGGGGGTGGGGATCTGGAGGGGAGATACCAGGCCCATCAGCTCTCCTCTTCCCTCCCTGATCTCTGAGCCAGTGGCGCTGTGAGGTCTGAGACCGAAGTCTCCCTCCCGTGACCTTGTGTCAAGTCCAGGCTCTCCCCTGCACATGCCCCGGTGCTGGGCGTTGGGGTCAAGGGGGCTGGGAAATGGGTAGGCCCAGGAGCACTTGCCCTTCGACGTCCCCTGGGACTTCTATCCCTAAGACAACTCCAGTGAGGCTGTTTCCCTGGCACGATGCCCTGCCCGGGCTGGGCAGCAAAGTGACTGGGGAGCAAGGCAGTGTGGGGGTCTCCCCAAAGGGAGCCTGGGCTGTGGGTTTAGAATTTTGAAATCCAGGATTTGACTCCCTTGACTCTGCAGTCTGGGGAGGGGGTGAAGGGGTGAGGGAGGCGAGTCCCCAAAAAGAAGCTCCTGCTCCCGGCTAGAAGGGGGTGCAGGACGGGGTGAGGCTTGGTTGCGGCCCCAGGGCATATCACAGGCCTTGCAGTGGGGGCCTGGGGTCTGATCCCAGACTCGATTCCCCCCACTGAGGCACACGAAGCTGCAAGGATACGCAGGGACACTCACTGGCTTCTCTCCCCTTGCAGGTCTCTCCCTCGGGCTCGCTGGGTGCCCTCCCTGTCCCTCCGGTCCACAACGCCCTGCCTGGAACAGGTGAGCTTGCTCGCACTTTCCAAACAAGCCCCACATCATCACTGCAAATAGGTTCCCCAAAGCTAGGCCGCACCCCAAGGGCACGAAATGATGGGGAAGGGGAGCCTCCAGTAACTTGGGGGACCCTTTCTGTTTATTCACTCAAAGGAGGCCGGTTTTGTGGGTGGTGATTGTGCTGGATGATATTTTTTTCTAGAAAGGGCTGGAGCGATAGCACAGCGGTAGTGCGTTCGCCTTACAAGCGGCCAACATGGCCGACCCGAGTTCGATTCCTCCGCCCCTCTCGGAGAGCCCGGCAAGCTACCGAGAGTATTCGATATGCCAGACACAGTAACAACAAAGTCTCCAATGGAGACATTACTGGGCCCGCTCGAGCAAATCGACGATCAACGGGAGGGCCTTTACTTTTACTTTACTAGTAACAACAAAGTCTCCAATGGCGACGTTACTGGGCCCGCTCGAGCAAATCGATGATCAACGGGAGGGCCTTTACTTTACTTTACTTTAGAAAGGGCACGGTGGGCCAAATAAATTTAGGAAGCACAAAGGGTCGGACTTTGGCCTGGAAAGGCACCTAGTGAGGGCAGCCTCCCAACGTTTCAGAGGTGAACACGTTTGGTGCCAGGAGGAAACGGGTTTCCGGATCCAGGAAGTGTGGGAGAGGCTGAGTTGGGCAAGTCCCAATGAGTGTTTCATGGCTGAGAGAGAGGACAGTGGGGTTCTGGTGTGGTTTTTTGCATGCAGTGGACCTGGGTTTGATCCCTGGCAACTCATGTAGTCCCCGAGCCCGTCAGGAGTGCTCCCTGAACACAGTCTGGTATGATCCTAAAACAAAAAGAAGAAAAGGAAGGAAAAAAGAAAGAAAGAAAGAAAAAAAGAAGGAAGGAAGGAAGGGGGGCTGGAGCAATAGCACAGTGGGTAGGGCGTTTGCCTTGCACGCGGCCAACCCGGGTTCAATTCCCAGCATCCCATATGGTCCCCTGAGCACCACCAGGGGTAATTCCTGAGCGCAGAGCCAGGAGTAACCCCTGTGCATCGCTGGGTGTGGCCCAAAAAGCAAAAAAAAAAAAAAAAAAAAAAAAAAAAGAAGGAAGGAAGGAAGGAAAGAAAGAGAAAGAAAGAAAGAAAGAAAGAAAGGAAGGAAGGAAGGAAGGAGTGATAGTATAGTGGGGGGGGTGACCTGGGTTTGATCTCAGGCATCCCATATGGTCCCCCGAGCACCACCAGGAGTAATTCCTGAGTGCAGAGCCAGGAGGAACCCCTGAGCATCGTTGGGTGTGACCCAAAAGCAAAAAAAAAAAAAAAAAAGAAAGAAAAGAAAGAAGGAAAGAAAGGAAAGAATGATTTAAATGAGTGATTTAGGGTGTCAGCATCTCAAAAGCCGGCTGCCCTCCCTGTGGGCTATGTGGGAGGAGGGCGAACGGGCTCCAACCCCCTTTCTGTGGGCAGAAGTCTTGTTTTCAGGCTGCCACAGAGTTTCAGAGAACCAGAGGGCGAGCTCCCAGCACCCAGCCCTGCCTCGGCCCTCTTCAGAGACCCCCCTCTCCCACAAGGAGCTAGGTTACTAGTGATTTATAGTTGTTTTTGTTTGTTTGGGGTCACATCCAAGGGCTACTCCTGGCTCTGTGCTCAGAGGTTACTCCCAGCAGATCTCTCGGACCCTGTGGCGATGGGGCTGAACGCCAGGCCTCCTCTGTGCACAACTTGCACTTGGCCCATTGAGTTCTCTCTCCCGCCTCCCCCCTCTCTCTCTCCCCCTTCTCTCTCTCTCCCTCTCTTCCCCCTCCTCTCTCTCTCCTCTCTCCCTCTCCCCTCTCTCTCTCCCTCCTCTCTCTCCTCTCTCCCTCTCCTCCCTCTCCCTCCTCTCCTTTCTCTTTTTCTCTCTCACTCCCCCTGTCCTCTCTCTCTCTGTTTCCTCTCTCCCACCCCGCCCCTCCCCAGCCTCTAAGTTTTCATATGGTTTGGGTTTGGCTTTGGGGGGGGCCATACCCAGTGGCGCTCAGGGGCTACTCCTGGCTCAGTGCTCCTCGTGCTCAGGAGACCATGCAGTGCGGGGGATCAGACCCAGGACAGGACACCTGCATGCCGCACCCGCGCCCTCGAAGCTGTCTCCCGGGTTGGATGTTCCTCCAGGCACGCCGCCGTCTCCCTGGCACGCTGTCTGGGAAATGCAAATACATCCCATTTCGTCAGCTTGCCTGAGTCCTGGGACGCTGGAGGCGGCGGGGAAGAGTGGAGGGTGCGGGGCGGCCAGCGGGAGTCCGGGGGTCTCTTCCCCTTGGCCCGGCTCCTTCTAGGAGACCGTGTGGGAGCCTTTCCTGGCGCGTGCACGCGCTTCTCCCCCTGCCCACCCGGGCCCCCTCCAGCCTCCCCCTTCGGGCTGTGTGTGCCCAACCCTGGGTGTGTCCCACAGTCGGATGGTTTTGGCATGCGTCCTCCTGCCATTTGGCAAGTCTGGAACTTGCAGAACCAGCCACACTGCTGCAGGGCCTGGGCCCCGGGAGAGCCCCCGTGGCGACAGGGCGTGGACCCTCATGATGGCGGGAGCTGGGCGGGAGGGTGGGGGCCGAGGGGGGTGGGTCAGAGGGCAAGGGGCCTCTGGGGACCTGTGTCACGGGTTTCCCCGTCATCACTTCTCCTTCTCCTCAGTCACGTCATCCTGTTCCCCTGGGAACCACAGCAGACCCTCGTCGCCCGGACTGGCCACCAGCAGCCCCCCGGCCTCGCAGAGCAACCCCAAGGCAGCCCTGAACTCACCCTCCAGTTTTAACTCTTCAGGGTAAGGGGGGGGGGAAGCCCAGGACGCCGGGCTGGTTGGGTGGCCGTGGACAGCAGCATGTTGGGGGCCAGGGAGGGGACCGAGGCGGGCAGGCAGGTGGGACTTGTTCCCCAGGGAGTAAGGGGGCTTACAGGGGATGCTGCAGCCCTGTGCCGTCTTGGCAGGCCACCGGTCAACCGGCGATCCAGCCAACATTTCCATCCTCTCCCGAAGCATGGAAATTTCCACATGTTCCTGTGGGAAGGACTTTCGCTGAGCCCAGAAGTGCTGCCCTTCAGGCCAGGAGCCCTGTGCTCACGGTTTTCTGACTGAGTCCAGACTAGTAACTGGGGGAGGAGACAGTGGCCTCTGGGCCCCGGATCTTGAGCTGGGCTGTAGAATTTTTGAGGGCGTGGGGCTGCCGTGTCTCAACAGAGCAGAGATGGGAAAGTTGGACAACAGGTTAAAGACGGGTCTGGGGGGGCTGGAGAGATAGCACAGTGGGTAGGGCATTTGCCTTGCATGCGGCCGACCCGGGTTCGATTCCCAGCATCCCATATGGCCCCCTGAGCACCGCCAGGAGTGACTCCTGAGTGCAGAGCCAGGAGTAATCCCTGTGCATCGCCGGGTCTGACCCAAAAAGCAAAATAAAATAAAATAAAATAAAGACGGGTCTCGGGGGATTAGATGGGTACAGGTCCTTTAGGAAGCCAACCCTGGGGGACTATTGTTGTGCCCCCAAACCTGGGAGCTCCTCACTTTGCCCTCCTCCCATGGAAGGAGGGACGGAGGAGTACAAAGCCAGGGCAACTCCTAAGCACTCCTATGCATGGCTCAAAACCTAACATTTTAAAAACTGTCAAACAAATATTGCCCTCCCATTGTTCATCGATTTGTTCGAGCGGGCCCAGTAACATCTCCATTTTGGGACTTGTTGTTACTGTGTTTGGCATATTAGGAATATGTCACGGGGAGCTTGCCAGGCTTTGCCATGTGGGTGAGACACTCTCGGTAGCTTGCCGGGCTCTTCGAGGAATCAAACCAGGTTCGGCCTGGCTGGCTGCGTGCAAGGCAAATGTCCTACCGCTGTACTATCGCTCTAGCCCAACATTTTAAAATATTAAAAAAAGTTTTCCATGTGTGAGAATTTTTAAAATTATTATATCTATTATTTTAACGAATCACCGTGAGATACAGTTACAGACTTACAAATTTTCATGATGACATATCAATCAAATAATGTTCGAGTATCCATCCCTCCATCAGTGCTCATTTTAAAGTTATTTTGGAAGGTAGTTGATCTACCATAACATTTGTCTCTTAAAGTTTATAATTCCGGGGAAGAGAGCTTGAAGGGCTGGGGCCCATGCTTTGCATGTAAGAGGCCTGAGTTTGATCCCTGATACCGCATGGTCCCCTAAGCACTGCTGGGCAAGGTCCCCAAACCCCAAACAGCAACGACAACAAGGGGTGTCATTTTGTGACTTTTTAAAAGTATATTCATGAGGTTATGCAATCATTGCCATGATCTGCTTCCAGAACATTCTCACCTGCCCAGAAAAGCGGCTTCTACCTCCACTCCCCGCTTCCCTCTTCACATTTTCAGCCTCACATTGACGTGTCCTTCCTTCCATCCTGCCTTCCAGATCTTGGTACCGATGGAATCATCCCACCTACCTCCACTAAGACCAAAGCAGTTTCTGCCATGGCGCCCTGCCCCACACCCCCCCGGAAGGGAGGGCGCCCACCTGCTGTGTATGGACAGATCGTGTTCTGAGGAGTGGGCGTGAACCCCCACCCTCAGTGAACCCAACACTTGCCTTCTTCAGGAACGAGGGCCTCAGAAGAGCCAAGCTGTGACAGAACCACCACGCTCAGAGGCCCCAACGCTCTGGACAAACATCCTCATCCTCCCTGCCTCAGCCCTTGCCTTCTCCTCAGAGTCTTTCCCTGAGGCAGAGCCTTTCCTGAGAAAGGATTTCCTGCACTTATTCTTCCACAAATCTGTGGGCTTTCTGGGGACAGACCTGTTTTGGGGTGCTGACCCTCCAGGAGGCGGGGATGATGGTATTGACTCTGAACTTAGCTGTGTCCTCTGAACTGATCCTAAACTCTGTGAAAAGCCTTCCGTCGGAAGCCTCCACCAAAGCCTCATTGTCTCTGTCCTGTGCAGCCAAGTTTTCTGACAGAAAGTTCCTTTCAGCCCGTTTTCCCGTGCTAGCCCTGCCCGCCTTTCCAGAGCAAGTCCCTTCACGGTTCTGTCTTCTGACTTGCCGCCTCTGCTCAGGAGTCTCATCCCTCCCCCATGTCCTTGACACCCCTCTGTCGCCGCTGGACCTTCTCTCGTGCTCCCTGAACACTTGTATATAACCCCTCCTGGTTTTCGCATTATGTTCTTCTCCTTCATGTGGAATTTTCCAGCGATATGTTTAACTCAGGTGTGACTAAGATGTCTCTGTCCATATTTTCTCTTCTTTTAAATGAAAAAGGAAGGAAAGCAAAAGCAAAAAACCAAAGCGTGAGAAACTGTGCTTGTGCTTGCGGCGGTGGGAGTCCCCACATGTGCTGGGAAACGTTTGCTGATTTCCTTGGGCACCTTCTCTCTCGTGCCCTCTGGGGGCCCCTGGGCAGAGTGTGATGAAGCCATTCTGGAAATGGTCACTGTTTTTTTTTTTTTAAGATGGCCTATCTAAGAAAATGTTGAGGTTCAAAAGAATCTCTCTGTTATTTGTATAATGACATTATAAACTATTCCACTACTCCTAAGAAGAGGTTTAGATGAGTGTGCTGTGTCTTTTGTTGGGGATGGGGGCATTTAGAGAAGTACACAGAATGGAATAGGATGGGGAAAATATTTTAGGTAAATGCATTCATTCAATCTGGTGTTAGAGCATGCATTAAAGCAGAGGTCGGAAAAGTTCCGTGTTCACCTGCTGACAGCTACCTCGAATACAGAGTAAGGAGGGATTTGGTTTCCTCACTCTGTGAGAGAAGGCAAATTCTTGAAGGTCAAAGCCTCTGCAGAGTGGAGATGTGGGGGATGCTGATCCTGAGGGACAATGATTGATTACTTACGATGTAAAGCCATTGGCATTGCAAGCAAAGGAGAATTTAGTAATCACGCACTTGACTTTGAAGGCCTGGGGACTCTGCTAGGGATCTGGAACAGGAAACTATCTTGAATCTTGCTGAGTCTTATGCACTTTGGTTTTTTTTTTCTTTTTGGGTCACACCCAGCGATGCACAGGGGTTACTCCTGGCTCTGCACTCAGTAGTTATTTCTGGTGGTGCTCAGGGGACCATATGGGATGCTGGGAATCTAACCTGGGTCGGCCACATGCAAGGCAAACGCCCTGCCCACTGTGCTGTCTCTCCAGCCCCACCTTATGCACCTTTGGAGATTTTTTTTGGGGGGGGGTCATACCCAGTGATGCTCAGGGGTCACTCCTGGTTCTGCACTCAGGGGTCACTTCTGGAAGGGCTTGGGAGACCATTTGGGATGCTGGGGATCAAACTTGAGTCAATTGCAAGCAAGGCAAGCACCCTACCCACTATCTCCAGCCCTTGCTAATGAATATTTAAATAGTTATCATTCCTGAGGTAAATAAAGCCCTTCAAAGACCTCATGACAAAGGGGAAACAGTCAAATTAAACATTGGTGGGAAGTAGTAATATGTGTGGGATCACTGTCACTGTCACTGTCCTGTTGTTCATCGATTTGCTCAAGTGGGCCCAGTAACGTATCCATTGTGACACTTGTTACTGTGTTTGACATACATCACGGGTAGCTTGCCAGGCTTTGCTGTGTGGGCAAGATACTCTCGGTAGCATGCCGGGCCCTCCGAGAGGGGCAGAGGAATCGAACTCGGGTCGGCCATGTTGACTGTGTGCAAGGCAAATGTCCTACCGCTGTGCTATCACTTCAGCCCATGTGTGGGATAGAGGTGGGAAACCTCTCTGTGAGTAATCAGGAGTTCTCCTTTCTGAGGTCTGAATGGGGCTCAGAGTAAGACCAGTTCTCCATGGTGTGAAATCGGAGATGACCTACTGGGGCAATGACCATGTCAGGAAACGATCTAGGGACCAGGGATGTAGCAGAGACACATCAGGGCCTTTGCCAGGCGCTTCTGTAAAGACAGGACTCCTGGCCACTTCATGCCCATCTGTGCTTCTGAGGCCACATTCAGCGGGCTCAGGGCTTCCTCCTGGCTCTGTTCAGGGCTCACTCCTGGTGGGGCTCCTGGGAACTACATGTGGGGTTCCAGGATCGAACCCGGGTCAGCTGTGTTCAAGAGCAGCGTCGTAACCCCTGTACTTTCTCTCTGGCCCCATAATTGCTATTCAGATTCTTTGGTGAGTGCTTTGTGTCTCCGATTCCCCCAAACAGCTTAGAACTTTCCTGGGGAATAGAGTCTGTACTGCCAAGGACCTGATGTGGTAGAATGGGAACTCTACACAAAGACTTCAACTTAATAAAGTTAGTCCTGGGCAATGAAGCAGAAACCTGAGAACCCTGCTAAGCCGAAGGATAAGAAAACCATGGAGAGAGGAGACTGGTCACTTCCCTTTCCCTCACATCTTAAAGCTTTCACACCTTGTTCGTGCCTACGCAACAGTGGCAGCAAGAAGAAAATTCCAGGCGGATACTAGAAGGGAAAAGAAGTGGCCATAGTAGCCAGTGGGGGGAACAGTTGAGATGCACAGGCGATGCATTTGATGGCAAAGGCCGTCCTGTGTCTCCGGTCCCTGGGCCAAGCGCTTGCACTTGTCCAAGCACAAGGCGGTTCGGCTTCTGGGATGCTGATTTGAGTTGTGTCTGGCAGGACCTCTCAGCCGTGGCTGCACACTGGGGTCACTTGGGGAACTTCATGAAAGCGTGATCAAGTCCCATTCCCTTGGGCTGTGAGCTGGATTTGGGGTCTTGAAAGCCTGCTTGAGTAATCTGATGATGATGATGATGATGATGACGACGCGGATGATGAAAACTGCTGTTCAGGAGCGTCTCCCTCCCTGGGTTAGGTCCAGGGCTCCGGTCTGAAATGATATTCCTCCCTGCAAAGGCAGCTTTGGTCCGGGGACCGCACTTAAGTAACCAGGGCTCTGAGAGTCCAAGGAGATGACCCATTGGTCCAAGAGCTTCCGAGATCCTTGCGCCCCCTACACCGCCTCCCTCAGCCCCCTCCGTGGTGGGTTGCCCAGTTCCGAGGGTCATGTGTGGGCATCTGTGTTCCTGCCCAGTCCCTGTTTCTTGCTATTCCAACAGAGCCAGAGGGGAGATTTATTTCTAACAGATACAGCGACACCAGTAATTAACGTGAATACAGACCTCCAGTCTCCCTTTGTGTTCTAAGCACTTTACACATGTGGATTATGCATGTGGACAGTGTCTGGTTTTTGCCATAAACTTGCAGGATAGCTGTTACTCCTGCCCCACCTATGGAGAGGAGACTACGATGGCACAGAGAGGTTAAGTGAGGTGTCCAAAGACACACAGTAATCATGCTGGATTGATTCTCCCGGGATGGGATGAAAGGGTAAGGTGAATGATTGAGTGCTGGTGTGGAAGTTGGCAGTTTTCTTTTGGCTCTTGGAACTTTCTCCCTTACTCTATTTTTTTTTTTGGAGGGGGCCATGGTGGTGCACCCTGTGATGCTCAGGCGTTACTCCTGGCTCTGCACTCAGGAATTAACTCCTGGGACTGTAAGACGGGGACTATAGGGGGCACAGGGGATGGTGCCCTTGACCACATCGTGCAAGGCCAAAGGCCGAGGTGCTGTACTATCTTGCCTAGCTGAGTTTCCAGGTGAGCCCTGTGCCCTCCTGCCAAGCTGGTGGAGAGCAGAAGGAATCTGTTGGAATTCCCAGGCCTGAGAGAGCCCCTGGCGACCGGGATGCTGTTTGGGGGGCTGTCTAGACCCCAGGCAGGACGAGAAAGACCAAGCCGGTGCTCAGCCGCTGGTTACCGGGGGTGGGCGAACGGATGATCGAACAAACCAGGTCTCACGTCACCACCGGGTTCCATCCGCGCCCTCCGTCCCCCACCGGCGTCCCCCCACCCGCGTCCCTGTCCCGCGCGGGCTCTGCGCTCCGTCCTCCCGGCCAGCAGGTGCCCCCAGACCCCGGCTCCGCGCCGCCTCTCTGCCTCGCTGCTGCTCCCTGCTCCGGGGATCCGGGCCCCGAGCGCGCGGGGCCGCGCGGCCAGGTAAGGCGGCGGGCGGGCGGCCGCGGGGGTGGGCAGAGCCGCGCGCGACCCCGCTGCATCCCCGCGCGAGGGAGATGCGCTCCCGGCGCCCGGGCCCGACGCGCCCCGGTCCAGCCCCGCCTGCTCCCGGGCCCGGGCCCGGCGGAACCGCCCCGCGGCGGGCGGAGCCAGCTCGGGGCCGGAATTCGGGGAGGCTCGGCCCCCCGCCAGCCCCGCGCCCGCACCCCCAGGACGGACGCGCCCGGGCCCGGGAGGGGCGGCGGCCCGGCCGAGGGCGGCGAGCCCGGGCTGGCCCCCGCGAACGCTGGTTGCGGGGCGCGGGGCCGGGGCCGGGCGTGAGGGCGCGGAGAGGACTCTGCCCCGGCCACGGCCCGCCGCTGATCCGCTTACTGGCCGCTGACCCTGCGGGCGTGGGGCCGCCCGGGTGTCCGCCTGGCTACTTTGTATTCCGGCCGCAACGCTGAGCAGAATTTATCTCGGCAGCCCTTGTCAAGACTGGGACTGGGTGGTAGAAATTTTCCAGCCTCTTTTTGTCTGTCTGTCTTTCTTTTTTTTAAACCTCCACTTCTTAATTAAAAAAAAAAAGTCCAAGGCCTCACTCAGAACCGAATAGGACCTTTTAGGGGCAGAGACTGAAGTGGAACTCGGGTGGGCATCTTCTGCTTTCTTAAATGTCTCTCCCTCTCTCCCTCTCTCTCTCTCCTCTCTCTCTCTCTCCTCTTTCCTCACTTTCCTTTCTTCTCCTCTCTCCTCTCTCCCTTCTCTCTCTTCTTTCTTTCTTTCTTTCTTTCTTTCTTTCTTTCTTTCTTTCTTTCTTTCTTTTCCTCCCCTTCCTTCCTTCCTTCCTTCCTTCCTTCCTTCCTTCCTTTCTCCCTCCCTCCCTTCCTCCCTCTCTCCCTCCCTCCTTACTTCCCTCCCTCTCCCTCCCTACTTCCCTCCCTTCCTCCCTCCTTTCCTCCTTCTTTCCTCCCTCCCTCCCTTCCTTCCTTCCTTCCTTCCTTCCTTCCTTCCTTCCTTCCTTCCTTCCTTTCTTCCCCCCTCCCTTCCCGCCCTTCCCTCCTCCCTTCCTTCCTTCCTTCCTTCCTTCCTTCCTTCCTTCCTTCCTTCCTTCCTCCTTTCCTTCTTCCCTCCCCCCTTCTTCCCTCTCTCCCTCTTTTCCTCCCTCCCCTGGCTTTAGAGGAAAGCTGTGTTGAACTTGACCCCCACCAAGCCCCCTCTGGATGACATTCTTGGGAGTGTCTTGCGTGCCTAAGGGTGCAGGTTCACAGATACTATTTCATGTGTCAGACTAAGGCTAAGCAATGCGTAGCTGGGTTTAAAAAAAAAAAAAGGAAAGAAAAAAAATTCCTGCTGAGATGAGACAGATATCTGAAATATTTTTGGCTTTTTTATTTGTACTTTCTAAAGAGGAGCTGATGAATATTAATAACAACACGGTGGCTATTTTTAGGCTTTAGTCTGATAGAACTTAATTGACTCAGCGACAACAGTACTTGTTCTGATATATTTATAACCAGTTAAAAAATTCAAAGTAGCTTTCTGACTTTGTTTTATTTTTAACTAAATTAAGTGCCTTAAAGGTTCATCCCTCCCCCACCCCCCCACCCCATGCCAGGGAGGGAACCCAGGGCCTGACACATATTAAGGCATGCACTCGGGGCAAGCCACATCCCCGCCCTAAAGCTATTTTTATGTCTCAACAAAAACTTCCCTCTTGACCCTCAGAATCCTCTGGTTCCCTTTTGACCGGTCTTTGAGATACATTTCAGAACTAAAGAGAACTAGGGTTTTGGGGACCAGAGAGGGTTAAGGCCTTTGCTTTGCCTGTTCCTTCACCCACACTGAATGGTCCCCCGTGCACGGAACTCAATGAGCCAAAAAACAAACCAAAAAATTTTTATTTTGTGTTTTCATTAAGTTTTGTCTCCTGAGCTATCTGGACTTTTTGTTTCGTTCTATATTTAGGATAACCTCAAGTTTCGATGTTGACTGATTAAACCGGTGACCTAAACCTAAACTTCAGTTTAGTGGCAGTTTTTTTTTTTTTTTTTTTGCTTTTTGGGTCACACCCGGCGATGCTCGGGGGTTCCTCCTGGCTCTGCACTCAGAAATTACTCTTGGCGGTGCTCGGGGGACCATATGGGATGCTGGGGATTGAACCTGGATGGGCTGCATGCAAGGCAAATGCCCTCCCCACTGTACGATCACTCTGACTGTAGTGTCAGTTTTAAATGCATCAAACTGCCTCATGGCATGTGTTTTGGTGCAGACACCATGAGTGGAGGGGTTTTTGTCACAAGCACTCGTTGAGATTTTTGAAATGAGATGGTATGATGTGTCATACATGCCTTCCGTAGATTGGGTACCGTTGTCCAAGGGCAGCGGCCGCAGTGAGGGTTTTCCTCCATGTGGACTTATTATCACAGCACGGTCCAGGAGGCAGCCCGGGAGCTAGCACACAAGCCTGGAACTTTGTTGCCCACTGGCCCTCCTATTTTGCCAGGCGCCTGGGAGGGCCACACAGCCCCACTGAACTATGGGAACTTCTTGCTGGGCGCCTCAAAAGTAGAGGCAAGGCACTGGAACTGTTTCCCTGGAGAAGCACAGGCAGCCGCCCGAGGCTGGTCTCTCAGGGTGCATCCTGTGTCTCTGGTCTTGGTCTTTCCTCCTAGGATGGCATTAGCTCTGTGTCTGCAGGTACTGTGCAGCCTGGGGGTCTGGCTCTCACTCTACGCTTCTTTCTGCCGTCTGAATAAGAACCGGGGCTATGAGTGGAGCTGCCGGCTCGTCACCTTCACTCACGGAGTCCTCTCCATTGGTCTCTCGGCATATATTGGCTTCATCGATGGCCCCTGGCCATTCACCCACCCAGGTAGGTGAGAGAAGAACAAAAGCCCCTCACTGATCATGGGCTTATGATTTGGGAGCGGTTTATTTTATTTTAAAAAAATTTTTAAAAATTTTTATTAGTGAGACACCGTGAGGTACAATTGTAGACTTACAAATTTTGTGCTTGGGTTTCAATTATACAATGATCAAGTACCCATCCTTCCACCACTGCCCATTTCCCACCACCACAGATCCCAGTATCCCTCCCACCCCCCATCCTCCCCATCCCACCCTGCCTCTGTGGCAGGGCATTCCCTTTTGTTCTCTCTCTCTTATTGGGTGTTGTGGTTTGCAAAAGAGGCAATGGGGACAATCATGTTTGGTCTATAGTCTACTTTCAGCATGCTTCTCCCATCCTGGGAGGATCCTCCCAACATCCTTTATTTGGTGCTCCCTTCTCTCTCTGAGCTGCCTTTTCCCCTAGCATGTGTGGCTGGCCTCCAAGCCATGGAGCAAAATTCCTGGTACTAATCTCGGCCATTCTTGTGTGTTAGTCTCCTATTTTGTTACTTTATGTTTTGGGAGCAGTTTAAGAAGAGACTTTTTTTTTGGTGGGGGGGAAAAGAGGGGCACACCTGGAGGTGCTCAGAACTTACTCCTGATTCTATGTCCAGGAATTACTTCTGGTGGTGCTCAGGGACCATATGGGATTCTGGGGATCGAACCTGGGTCAGCTACACGCAAGGCAAGAGCCTACCTGCTGTACCGCTCCAGTCCCCAAGATGGGGCTTCTTTATAGAATGTGTACCCTACTGAAGAATAATTACAAGTGGTATTAGGAAAGATCTCTTTACCTTTTTTGTTGTTACCCCGGTCTTGGATACACTGGCCATTCTGTTTCTTAACTCTCTTTTATTTTTTCTTTTATTTATTTATTTATTCTTTTGTAGTACTGGGGCTTAAACACATACAAGGCTTGAACACATACCCGGGGCCTCACACATACAAGGCCTGAACTCAACCCTCACCTTAATTCTCTACTTTAAAAACAAATCCTAAAATGCTCATGATTTTATAAATCTTTTAGATATACAGAACCCAGAGCCATTTCTGAATCTTCCCCTGGCATTCCCAGACCAACTGAAATGAATCACATTATATATTCTCTTTGGTAATCTGTCATTTTTACTCGATCATATATATATATATATATATTTTATTTATTTATTTTGTTTTTTTGGGTCACAACCGGCAATGCTCAGGGGTTACTCCTGGCTTTGCACTCAGGAGTTACTCCTGGCCGGTGTTCAGGGGACCATATGGGATGCTGGGAATCGAACCCGGCTTGGCCGCGTGCAAGGCAAACGCCCTACCCGCTGTGCTATCGCTCCAGCCCCGTCAATCATATATATTTAAAAAAATCATGTTTCTGTCTCTGTAACCCAATTTTCCTTTCTGTCTTTTTCTTTTTCTTTGTTTTGTTTCTGGTGTTTTTGGGTTTTTTTTTTTTTTGCTTTGTTTTGTTTTTTATTTATTTATTTATTTATTTATTTTTTTGGTGGTGCTAAAGGCTTATTCCTGTACTCAGGGATCACTCCTGGCAGGGCTCGGAGGACCATCTGGATTTCCAGGGATCCAACCCAGGTTGGCTACCTGTGTGCCATGCAAGCATCCTACCTGGTGCTGTACTATCACTACAGGCCCATCCTTAATACTTTTGTTCTATTGTGTGGTAGGCGTTGAAATATTTTATTTCACCAGTGTCTCACTATGTGGGGCAGCAGTAGACTTTCCAAGATGTGATGTATGTGGAAGATTACCTTCTTAGGCTATAAACATGACATCCCCTTGAACCACTTCCCGGAGTCTGCCGTAACCACACACAGTCGGGGCAGACACAGGGATGTGGAGAGGGTTCCCCGGCCTGGAATGCAGGCTGTGCACGTGGGAACCTTAGAGTCAGGCTCCAGTCCCTGGCACTGCATGGTCCTCCAGATACCTTTGCGAGTCCCCCCAAGCACTGAGCTGGGAGTGGCTCAAAAAAACCAAAAGAAAAAAAAAAAGTTCTGGAGTTGGAAAGGCCCAAATAAATCAAGATACCAGCTAGCTCATTTTTCTGTCACATGTCACTGCCAGGCTTGCAGACAACTGCCTTCCTGTCGCACACCGTTGTCCCTTTGTACCTCTGTCTTTATCTTGTTTGATAAGGACACCGGACGTATTGATTGCCACCTCCTTGTAACTTAATTACCTCTCCAAGGCCCTGTTCCAAATAGAGTTGCATTCTGAGATACTGAAGTTGATGAAGGTCGGGATTTCAGCATATGGATTTTGGAGAGAAATAACTAAGTCCCTCCAGACCTTTAGAATATGAGTTTTTAAAAATTCCACAACTCCTTAAAAAATTATTTTTAATTGTGGTACTAGGAGTTGAACCCAGTGTCTTCCACATGCAAGGCATGTGGACATGGAAACATACTAACTTCTGGGGTTCCTCCTGGAGTCTGCTTTCAAAATGGGTTAATTTTGTAACCCATGAAGCTAAAGAATCAGTCTGACATTTGGGACAGAATTAGAGAGTTTGGAGAAAGACTGTTGGTTGGAGAAAGGAAAAATAAAAAGTGTCTAGGATTTTGTTTTATTTGGGAATCTAAGTGCTTCGAGGCTATTCCTGACTCTGTTCAGGAGTGACCCCTAACAGTACTGGGGAGAGGCTGGTGGGGGAAGGGATGGGAACCAGAACTGCCTCATGCAAGGAAGCACTGTACTTCCTCCTGTACTGTCTCCCCAGTCTAGACTGCAGGATTTGAATAGGATGAAAATACTCTGACAAGCCGTTCTCTCTGTCTCGAGGGCACTGAGGTCCTTCTGGGTGTCAGGCCCTCCTGGAGATCTGATTCAGCAGAGCCGGATTTCAGTATGGCTTGATCAAGACCCTCATTTTATTTTATTTTTTGCTTTTTGGGTCACACCCAGCCATGCTCAGGTCAGGGGTTACTCCTGGCTCTGCATTCAGGAATCACTCCTGGCGGTGCTGGGGAGACCCTATGGGATGCTGGGGATGGAACTCCGGTCGGCTGCGTGCAAGGCAAACGCCCTACCCTCTGTACTATTGCTCCGGCCCCTCAAGACCCCCGTTTTAGATTTCAGCCCTGGGTGGACGGTCAGAAAGCAATGTTTTTCTGGTTTTTTTTTTTTGGTGATTCTCACCAAGTTTGAGAGCTTAGCGATCTGGGATGCCTGTGAGGTGTGTGTGTGTGTGCGCGCGTGCGCGTGCAGGGCTGCGGGGTCCCTGGGCACTCAGTCCTGTGGTCTGGCCTTCTTCCTAGGCGCCCCCAACACCCCCCTGCAGGTGCACGTGCTGTGCCTCACGCTGGGCTACTTCATCTTCGACCTGGGCTGGTGCGTGTACTTCGGCTCCGAGGGGCCGCTGATGCTGGCGCACCACACCCTGAGCATCCTGGGCATCGCCATGGCGCTGGCGCTGGGCGAGTCGGGCACCGAGGTCAACGCCGTGCTCTTCGGCAGCGAGATCACCAACCCGCTGCTGCAGCTGCGCTGGTTCCTGCGCGAGACGGGCCACTACCACAGCTTCGCGGGCGACGTGGTGGACGTCCTGTTCGTGGCGCTGTTCACGGGCGTGCGCATCGGCGTGGGCGCCCGCCTGCTGCTCTCCGAGCTGGCCTCGCCCAAGCCCCGCTGGTTCGTGAAGGCGGGCGGCGTGGCCATGTACGCCGTGTCCTGGTGCTTCATGGTGAGCATCTGGCGCTTCGCCTGGAGGAAGAGCGTCAAGAAGTACCGCGCGTGGAGGGGCCGGCGGAGCGAGGAGCGCGCGCACCCGCACAACGGACACCTCAAGGCGCACTAGCGGAGGGGCCTCCCCGGCGGGACCAGGGCGCAAATACAGTGCTGGTGGCCCGGTGCTGCTGAGGACAGACTTGGCCTTCAGCCTCCCCGGTGCCACGTGGCCACCGGTGCGGGGCTCGGAGCGGTGTCCCCAGAAGTAGTATCGAACTGGCACTGCCCAGGGGCAAGGGTGATCCAGTGGAGGGGAGGGGCTCCGAACTCAGAGAGCACTGCCTGTCTCTCCTTAGGGGCTTCCCAAGGGGACTCATGCCTTGGGTTCTCTGAGCATGGGATCCGGGCATGCGATGTGTTGATGTGAAACGGGCCGCGGAGGATGGGAGCAGGGTGCCAGGAAACGGAGGCACATGGGAGAGAGGTCTTACTTGAGTTTAGCCAGTCCCACCATGTGCGGGGAGTCAGGGCCGCCCACTCTAGGCTGGGCTTTGACTTCTGAGAATGAGACAGCTGAGTAGTAGGAAAGGCACCTGGGCAGGGCCCAGGGAAGCTTTGGGAGTCCAGGCCCAGCTGCCTCAGGGTTGCACACAGTTCACGTTAGGTTCCAGAAGCAGGTGTTTGAGGCAGTGTGAGTGAGCCCGTCCTGTGGGTGGCTCAGATAGCCAAAGGCCCGAGTCCCCGCAGGAAGCCAGTGACTGGGTCCTTCAGGCACTTCTCACAGGAGCTCTTTGGACATTTCAGTTCCCAGATGTCAGCCATGGGCTGGTCTTGCCAGCAGCCCTATGTGAGGACCCAGCTACCCTGGGCCCTCTGCAGAGCCCGGCTTGGTCCCGAGATGGGGGACCCAGGGACAGGCCATTGCTGGGTCCTGTTGTGTGGGTTCTGCCCCAGCAGAAAGACGATGCCAGTTCTCAGGGCTTTTGTGCATTAATCTCCCAGGCATGAGAGGCCGTGGCTAAATTCCACAGGGATTTACCCTGCAGATTCCGCTGTGTTCTCAGTGGCGGTTCAGGTTTCAGCTCCGCTCTGCACACTTGCGAACTCGCACCAAAGATCCAGGGTTCCGGCCTCTGAGTGACGAGGCTCCTGAGGATTTTTTTTTCCCTCAAAGAACACTGAGGAAAACACTCCCTCTTCAGCCTTTTTTCTTTTTCTCTGATAGATCAGGACGCCTAAGGGATAAAGAATATTACAACGAGGTGATTCTCACCTCCAGAGGAAAAACAAAATGAAACATTTCTCAGACTTCTCAGAGTCTCACCGAGGGAGGATGAGACTGTAAGCCGAGACCCCTGGGGCTTCGGACCAAGATTCCCGGGGTCTTGTCACCCCTTTAGTTCCTCACTGGCCTGGTCCTTGGGGGCAGGTCACCTCTTTACCCAACCCTGTGGGAAATGAAGGAAATGCTCCTTGAGGCCTGCATGGTGCCAGGGCAGGGGCTTTTATTAATGAAGGGCATTAGTGTGGTCTGAATTTTCAGGAAAAAAATTGATGTCTTTATTTATTTCTGTATTTCTGAATGTTCTTGTGGTTTGTTAAATTTTATTGGGTTCTATTGTGGGAACCAGTGACGATGGCACAGCTCAGCGGGATTGCTAGTGGACAGGGCTATTGAGGTCCAGGTTCTGAAGGTCAGCGGGAAGTGTTGGCCCATTGGAGGGCTGTGTGTCATACGAGCCTGTGATTTTGGAAAGAGATGGCGCTGGCCAGGCATGCGTGATCACAGGCATGAGTGACCACAGCGTGTTACTTTTGCTCTTGGGGAAGTAATACAAGGAGCACGGGAGTAACATCCCGGAGGACTGACTGTCCCTTGGGGTCGAGTTTTGCTGGACATGAGACTCATCTGATGGGTGAGCACTTTCCTCCCCGCTCTCATTGGTGTGTCTGAAACACGAATTAGCACCTTTCCAACAAAGCTCTGGCCAAAGTAGGGCACTGGGGAGCGCTGATATTTAACAGGAGCCAAGTGGAAAAGAGTATCTTGGCACGTGAACCTCAAAAAAAGAAAAAAGAAAAAGCTGGCTCTTGAATTTTGGTACAGAGCAGCCTGTTCCGTACCAGACAAAGGAATAGGCCTGATCTGGGACCAATTCTTTTCTCCTCACTCTGTAGAAGCCAAGGGCCGACAGATCCACACTTGGGGGGGTGGGGGACACACACAGTCCCTCTGGGTTTTGAATATGTAGAAATCTCTGCGGTGAGAGACTTTGCTTCAGTTCTTCATGATGCTACAAGTAGCTAACTTTGCAGGACACTTGCAAAGGCTGCACCACTTCTGAGTGAAATGAAGATGACTCAGCAGTCCAGAGGCTGAATTGTCACTGGCAAAATGAAGGGCTCATTAACATGCAGTATGGACCGACAGAATGAAGTGCTCATTTGCATACAGATTACTGTGTAATAATATTGCTCGAGAAGGATTTATACTTCAATATCATTTGTACTAAATTTTATAGAAATAAACTGGAGAAAAAAAACCCTAACCAGAGTCCACCTTTCTATCTTTGCTATAAATTTGAAGTGAAAAAAAAATCTTTTGGCCTATTGACCTATATTTATAGCTATTGGCAAATACCTCTCACCTGTTGCTTCTCATCAGCCACCCTAATTTGACCACTTGGGGGTTCGAGGTAGGGCAGTATAAAACTATACAGAAAGTTTGCCGAGGGAGGGGAACATCTTTCCCCTGCCCAGCTGTCCCCTGCTTGGACAGCTGCCCTGAATAAAATGCTATGGCACAGGCTTCCCAAAGGGAGGGTCTTTGGTTCTCTTCAGAACTACGTTAGCGTGGCAGGATAGGGCAGGGGTTAAGGCCTTGGCCTGGCGTGTGGCCAATCTGGGTTCAATCCCGGGCATCATCTATTGTTCCCCCAAACACCACCAGGGGTCACTCCTTAGCACCATTGGTAATAGCCATTGACTGACACCAGGTGTGGCCCAAAGCTCCCCACAACAAAACAGAACCATCCTTGAAACGCCTACAACAGCGGAAGAGTGAGTTTGTTAAGCCGCTGGAAAGGCTGGGCCAGGGGGTGAAATGGGATTTACAGTCACCGGCTTTGGAAAACCTCAGTGTGAGTGGATGAAGCTGTTTTTTGTTATTCTTCTAAAGTACCAATGACTGAGCAGTTTGTTCTACTTACAAGGAAAAGTGCCTCTAAAGGCATTCTATAGGTGGTGCCTTTAGAACATTCTAGAGCTATCATCAACTAGGACTTTGGGGATGTTTTCCCCATTGGGGCTTTGTGGGTGAACAATAAAAGAGTTTCATCATGAAAAAAAAATCGTTCTGGAATGAATAGTGACTGGCTTAATTAAGTCCTTTGCTTACCATCTTCAGAAGCTTTCCCAGCAAAGGCCTCCTTTGCTCCTGCTAGGACTTTGGGTCTGTTGAATTTTGGAAAGATCTTGAAAGCAGCCTGCCAAGAGGTTTTGTATGCAAGGAAGAGAAGGTGAATTAAGAACTTCCCCAGTTTGTTTTATTTCTGAAGCTGAAGTATTGAGGCATTCTTAAAGGGAAGACAGGAACTTATTTTTAAAATGCATGATTTGATGAGTCATTGAGTCCGACTGCTTTGATACTAGCGGCAAAACTACTTGAATAGCATAAACGTGCATATAGTATGTTTTAAAATTCGGTTGGGGAATAAGGTTGCCATTTGGGCCGATTATAGAGATGTCTGGGGTGCTTTCCCAGTTGCATGTAGAAAACATGCAATATAATAAAGTTTTCGGGATGAAATTGTCATGTCTGGGTACACCAGCAGGTGGCATTGTGTCCTGGTCTGATCTTTAGGAGAGTGGTTTGTAACCCTTATCTGCTTCTATTCTTTCCCAAAATAAACATTACAAAATTAGTTGGCTGTGCCCTGAACTTAAAAAAAAAATCATGCAATAAGGAGTCATCTTTGGCCTCGGTTAATTTCCTCCCCCCCTTTTTCTTTACCCCGATCTAACGTTAGTTAGCTCATACATCTATTCAGGGATAATGATCCTTTCGTAAACTGTTGCGGATTGACTTTTAGAAACAGTATTGTTAAGGGTAATTGTTGCCCCTCTCCAAATCCACGTTTGTTCGATTTAACTTTGCCACTTGATTTCCATAAAAAGTTGGACCGCCGTTTACCGCACCTCAGACACAGTCCTCAGAAAGTCTGGAAATCCTTGGATCGAGCACTGGCCACGAGGTGCCCGCGGGTGGGACGCAGGGCCTCCACTCGCGTGCTCCATGAACTGCTACCCCGCCGAACGATGCACGAGGGGACAAGAGGGCCAGCGCCGTGGCTTTGGCAAGGGGGGCTGGGGGGGGGAGCAAGAAAGGGAAAACGGCGTCAGAAACAGCTGAGGACTGTGCGGACGGCAGGCAGGGCAGTGCTGCTGGGCCAATGCGTGCGATTTTCGACTCCCGTCCCATTCCGCGGCCAGCCGCGATCGCGGCGGCACGCACCACGTTCTTCTCCGCTTGGCACGATGCAGAAACCGTGGCCGCGGCTCCCGCCCTGTTCCCCAGCTTTGTCTGCAGCCCCGAAAGCCCTGGGCCCCCCAAGACTCCCGGGAGCCTCGTCCCCCCACCCGGCCCAGCAGGTGCGATCCAGATGCCCCCCGCTGGAGCTCCAGGAGGAGGAGGAGGAGGAGAGGAGGAGGGGCGGGCCCGAGCCGGGGTCGCAGCCACGGGCCAGCCCAGCACGTCGAGACGTGCAGAGTGTAAAAAACGAGGCGCACAAAGTGCCCTTCCCGAGGGAGCCCAAGTTTCCAGGGCTGGCGGCTTGTCCTCCCCGGCCCCCACGGGCTCGGCAGGGCCCACGCGGCCCGGTCCATCACGCCGCGCGCCGGTGGGATTCCCGGCTCCCCGCAGGACTACTTTTCCGGCCCCCGCGAGCCCCCTCCGCCCCCACTCGGCGGAGGGGTCCGCCGCGCGAGGGGAGGCGCCAGGGCGACCGGGAGCGCGGAGGGATCCCGCGTGAGGCGGCTTCCCGGAGGCCCCGAGCGCCGGCGGGGGAGGGGAGGGGAGGGGAGGGGAGGGGCGGGGCGGGCGAGCCGGCGCTGGCCGCGGCCCGGGCGCCAGAACCGGAACCGGAACCCGCGCGCGCGCGCGTGCTCGCGAGAGCCGGCGAGGCTCGCGCGTCCCCCGCTGGCCGCCCCGCGCGCGCTCGCGCGTGCGCGCGCTCCCGAGAAGCCGGCCAGCCGGTCCCGCGCGCCGCCGCCGCCTCAGCCGCCGCCGCCGCAGCCGCCGCCGCCGCCGCCTCCGCCGCCCGCAGGCCGGGCCCGCCCGCACCGCCGCCCGCCCGCACCGCCCGAGCGCCGCGAGCAGCCGGCTGAGGCGCCGTCGGGGAGGCCCGCGAGGGATGCGGGGCGGCGCGCGGCGCTGAGCGACTCGGACCGCGCGTTCCTGTCAGCCCGGGGCGGGCCATGGGGCCGCCCGCGACGCGGCCGAGGCGGCGGCCCCGCGCCGCCCGCAGTTGCCCCAGCTAGAGGCCGCCGGTCCCCGCCGCGCCCCCCGCCGCGACCCCCGCGCCGGACGCCCTCGATGAGCGCATGGAGCGCGGAGCCGGAGCCGGAGCCGGCGGCGCGCGGCCGAGTCGGGCCTGACCGCGGAGCGAGTTGGCTAGAGACGAGGACCTCGCGCCAAGGGCCCAATGAGTGGCACACAGCCGACTCTCCCCGACAGGTGGGTCCGCGCCCCCCGCCGCGGCGGTCGACGGTCGCGCCGGGCGCGGGTTGCGGGGGTGGGGGGGGTCGCCTCGCCGCGGGACTGACGGACGTCCCCCCCCCGCCCCCCCCCCCCCCCGGCCTCCCTCGCGCGTCCCGGCGAGGGCCGGGAGCGAAGAGCCGCGTTGTGGAGGAAAGGGGGAAGAAGAAGAAGAAGAAAGAAAGTTTCTGTTTTTATTTTTTGGGGGGAGGGCTTGTTTTCACACTGAAAACCAAAACACGCGAGGGGCGGAAGCGCGCCGGCTGGGTGGGGAGCCCGATCGGGCCGTGGGGTGCGGGGGTCCTCGACGTCCCCGGGAACTTGCTCCCGGGGCCGCTCCCCGGGCTGGGGGCTCCGAGTGGCAGGTGAGTCGCTGGAGTTTCGGGCTCTTCGCGGCGCCTCGGAGCCGAGCGGAGCCTTCGAGTGGCCGACGGGAATTCCTTGACGCTCGTTCTTTGGGCTGTGAGGTTCGAGGGATGGATCGATTGATGCCTGGCTTGTTTTTTTTTTTTTTTTAATCTGAGTTTTCTGATACATGCTCTTGATTCCCCCCGATTTTGATAATGGTATCCCGATCTCTTGATTTCTAGTCAGGCTCTCTCTCTCTCTCTTTTTTTTTATAAAGTTCATTTTCAAACTCTTCCATCATTTAAAAAAAAGAAAAGTGTGATCCAAGAGTCGTATCAGGAAGCCAAGCCATGGCCTTCTTGCAGAAAACGGTTCGCTTTCCTTGCAAGAGTTTTCACCCAATTGTAAGAGCGGTTTGTTGATTTTGAAAGGGACAGATTCCATTATCGGACCATAACAGCTTCTCCAGAAACTGAACTTCCTCTTCCTGTTGATGCTGTCCAGTGTCACATGCATGGTCACCTAAAAGATTCCATTATACATTTAAACTATACTTGTTCTTTGTGTGCCCTTCAAAAAAAAAGGTCCCTTTAAACTGGCGCTGCGGGGAGGCTCTTGGGGGGCTGTACTCGGCCGGGCCGGGATTGCTCAGACTGGCCGGACTTGTGCTGTTCGGACCTGGCAGTGCAGGGGGCCATCAGGACAGTTCCTGGGTCTGTCTCCTGGATCTTCCTAGGATTCTTTTTTTCTTTTTTTTTGGCTTTTTGGGTCACACCCGGCGATGCACAGGGGCTCCTCCTGGCTCTGCACTCAGGAATCACCCCTGGCAGTGCTCAGGGGACCATATGGGATGCTGGGAATCGAACCCGGGTCGCCCTACCCGCTGTGCTATTGCTCCAACTCCCCTTGGATTCTTTTGAGGCGCTTCTTAAGTGGTGGTCAGGGGCTCGGAGGCCACTGATGGCGACTCTTGGCCACAGAGCCAAATGGCTCCTTGGCTCCCGGATGTGGTGCTGCTGTGGCACAGTGGAGGGTGGGGGGACTCCCAGGGCCACTCTGGAAGTGCCCGGTACTTCTGGGTGGGCCCTCTCAATGAATTCCTTTTCAACTCTTTTGAGGTCCGCTTAACCTGAGTAACAACCATGCTTATCTTGGCTTCTAGTTTCCTCCTTTCATTACTGCTACCCACGCCCCCCCCCAAGTATTTTGCCTCTGAGAAGTCACTTTTGCTGTGATTGTTTTTCTGGCTCAGTCAGTTCCTGCCCTTTCTGTTGAGCTTACAGACACTGTTGTATTAGGAACTGGTGTGTTGTTGGTAATTTTCATTGGGATGAAGGGTGCTTCCTTTTATAGGAAAAGAACATAGGGTCATCAACTCTTTCCACATAAACCACCTAAAAGTCTCCCTTGGATGCCTTATTTTCCTCTTTGCTTTTCAGACTTTTTTCTCACCTTCCTAAATTATTTTTGTTTTTATTTTGTTTGTTTTGGGGCTGTGCTCAGGGATCGCTTCTGAAGGGGCTCCGGGAACATAATGAGGTGCAGTGGATTGAACACAGGTCTTTGGTGTGCAAGCCCCTTCGGTGTGCCTTTCCCCCTGTACTCTCTCTCCAAAATTGGAAAGAGAGTATTGGAAACCCCAAAATTGGAAAATACAATTTTGGGGTTTGTAGCCTTTTAATAATTTAGATAAATATGCATTAAATATGCAATTAATGTCTCTTTGCCAGTCATAAGGCTTGGCAACAAAGAATGAAAAGGTGAGTTTTGTAAGTACAACAAAATAGGCAGATTGATTGGGGTATTAATATCTTTTCTTTTTTTTTCCTTTTTGGGTCACACCCGGCGATGCACAGAGGTTACTCCTGGCTCATGCGCTCAGGAATTACTCCTGGTGGTGCTTGGGGGACCCTGTGGGATGCTGGGAATTGAACCCGGCGTCGGCTGCGTGCAAGGCAAATGCCCTACCTGCTGTGCTATTGCTCCAGCTAGTTACGGTATTAATATCTTTGAAGTATTTCAGGTGCTTTCTGATTTTACCTTTTTTTGAAGAATAAAACCTTAAAATGCTGAGACAGTAGAAATACCTGATTCTTAGGAATTTACTGCCATATATATATATGTACACTATATATATATATATTTTTTTTTTTTTAAACAGGGTTGAGTTTAGATCAGTTACCACTGAGTTTTTCTTAGGCATTTCTCAATGGATTATATATCTATATATCAGGCATTCATTTGCTATTTGGTAGAGCTGGTGATCCAACCTAAGGCCTCAGATTCAGGGCTTCATCACAGAGTTTTGTTCCTGGCCCAAAGCAGTTGTCCTTGATTTGAGTATCTGTGTAGGTGAAATCTGGAAGTACTGGTTTACTATTATTACTGCGGCTGAGTATCCTTGTAGAGCGCAGACTAATTCCTAACTCTTTCCCGCCCTCGTTTAGCCTCCACCCTCACTCTACAGCTCCAGGGTCCTCTAAGGTATATTTTGCTGATTCTCGCGTGATTAGCAAATTAACAGTGCCACTGTAGCTCTGTAAAGATGCTTTTAAGTTTGAAGTACTGTGTGTGGTGTGGCTTTGTTTTGTAGAGTGCGCAGAGCCACCAGGCCAGCTGTGTGAGTTAGAGTTCTTTCATTGTGGTGCTTCTGACTACAGAGTCTGTCTGTCTTCAGTTGAAATCAGACTAGCTGGTTTTGGGCGTTGTTCTGTTTTGCAGTTGTGGCAGGCGACACATGGCTGAACAAGATAAGAAGGGTTTTATTCTTGTGTTAGGGACGTGCTGGGGCTGGGATGGAATTCAGCTATGTTTAGGCTCTGATTGGTCACTTTGGATACTCAGAACTTTGTTATATCCTGTTATTATTTTGCAGTTAAATTAACACATTCATTTACTCCTTGTTCTTCCTTTTCATTTTTTGCTCTGCAGAACTCCCATTCCGTCTGCTCCCCTTTGAAAAGGCATAATCATCAGTTTAAAACCCAAACTATCTTTGAGGTAGCTATTTACTTCCTATATGTGATCAGTTTTTTAGAAAGTCTAACTTCCGAATTCATCCAGTCTCTTTGTAGCTTCTGTGACTAGTTTTCTGAGGTTGCTTTTCCATTTGCGTTTATTGTTACAGTGGGTTCTAAAATATAGCCTCATTGTTTCCAGTCCTCTTGGTTGCTTGTCTTTTTTTCTTTGAGTGTTTTAGGGGTCCTCTTGACATTAGGAGTTTTTTCTGAGAGGTAGGAGGAGAGATGACTCTTTCTGTGGGCTGGGGCTTTGAATTCATTCTTGGTGTAATATTCATACGCCAATAATTTGTGTTTTCATTAGTTTTCTTAACTTTTTTGTCAGAGTTACAGCATAATGCTTTTAAGAATTGTTAGAGTGAAGGTAATCTGTTTACAGTCGTGTTGACATTTACAGTCTTGGTGCAGTTTCCTCGCCTGTGTGTGTTTGACTTAACAGCAAAATAAGAAGCTGGGGATGTGGCTCAGTGTAGCAGAGCGCTTGCCTTGCACATGTGGGGCACTTGTCGATTGCCAACACCCCAATGCCAAAAAGCAAATAAACTTGCTGTGTGTTGCTGTTTTCAGGGTTACCTGAGTCACCTGTAAGGTGAATTATTAGTGACATTTGCTTGTAAAACTAGTCATTTGGTAAGTACAGAGTTGAGATTGGGGAGGGCTAGTTTGTATTTAATTTTATGTTTTTAGTTTGATCTAAAATCCTTGTTTATATAGGTATTCAATGATGCATTCTTTTGTGCAGCTTTACATAGTTAACATGTGCAGTCCAAAGTGGATTTTTATTTATAGCTTTTTAGGGCCATACCTGGCAGTTTGCAGGACTTATTCCTAACTCTGCTCAAGATCACTTCTGGTAATCCTTGGGGGACCATATCGGGTGCCGGATAGGACCCGGATTGTGTAGTTCAAGTGCCCTACCAACTACTCTCTCCAGTCCTGGATATTTTAATTTTTTGAAGTACTGAGCTGTAGTCTTTCTGATTAATGGCACATTTATAAGATGGTTATAAGTATTCAATGAGATGACAGGAAGTTTTACTTGGAATCTTTGTAGAAATATGTTAGCCTGGCCAAAGAGAGAACTCAGCAAGCAGGTTAGAATTCATGTTTTTCATTTAGGGGCCAAGTTTCAGCTGGCTTTTAGTGGTCCCCTAAGTACCACTGGGTGCCATGGGAAATGACCCTGAGCACAGAGCTGGGAGTAGCTCCTAACAACACTGGGTGTGGCACCAAAACAAAAAAATTGTTAATCCAGAAGTACCGTTTACAGTATAGGTGCTTTCCAGTTTAGTATGTTGCTGTTTAACTTCATTATTTTTTATTTTTTTACTAAGTTTAAATTTTCAGTTAAAATAATAAGAGGCAAGCATTGATAAAGCTTTTAAGTATAAATTTTAGCTTTTTTTCTATGGAACATTGTTATTCCAGGGAAAGCAGTTAAATATATCAATGCAATGTTGTTGCCTTTTCTGAAAGCCATCCAGAGTTATGAATTGCCTGCCAAAATAATACAGGTCACAGAACCACATATTTTCATGGTTTTCCAGAGGTAATTGGAGAGATTCTTTTCTTGTCTGATAGTGTTACTAGAAATGTTTCTTATCATAGAAT